GGCCCAATCGCCAGTTGTTTTTGCCTCATTTTCGGAAGCGATCAGCTCGATCGGCACACACCGACTTGAGGCGCTACAGGTTTCTAGATGACCCAACTATCCATATAAATCGGCGATGGCTTAGGTATCAAAATACTTTGAATATTTAAAATTTCCCTATAATTTTACCAGAGTTTTATTTTTTTTTTTTTATTTTATTACTCCTCCTAGTATACAAAACCCAGTTTGTTTTTCTTTGTACAAGAGTTTTAAACACCTGAATTCTATTCTGTTCTATTAGAACAGCATAACTCATTTGCTAACCCCTTCTCGACTGCATCTGTCTGTCAACTGGCTAAGTTCCACTAATTAGAGCGATATTCCCTAGTTTTCGGGCGGGGGACTTCAAGCCCCATTAACCTGCTTCGGATCTCCGAAGGGTATTTACTCTGGTGTCAGACTGAAGCCCCTTGCGCCAAATTCAGGGGGCGGGGGCGCTGGTCATGTCCACTTTGTTTGCCTCCAAATGACAGCTGATTGCCTTTCAGCCTTTCGGGATCCGTTCTTCAGATGGGATCGGTTCGGTTGGTGCGGTGGGTTCGGCAGAGGTTCCTTCGGTTCCAGTTCGATCGACCGTTCTCAGGTTCCGTGTAAGCCGGCGCCTTTAATTGGCATTTGAATGATGTGCACACACGCTGCCCGCTCCTTTGGCACTGCGAGAAATTGTTGAGGGGAATCGAATTGGTAAAACCTAAAATATAAGAATCCTGAAAATGTAAACAAAAATATAAATGCAATAGACAGCCTGTTCTGAACATTCTTTTTCGATCCAAAAAGAAAATATCCTTTTTGCTGAGCTCTGGCCAACACTTTTTCTCCGGGTGCACCGCTCTATAGCCGTCCCTCTCTTATCAGACAGCTCCTTATCAAACTTGTCGATCGCCTCTGGCTGGCGCTTATCTGATGCTCGTTTTGGATAAACGCATCATTATTACTGTCGCCGCCACAGCGACGACGTTCTCAAAAAAGCAGAAAAAAAAGGGAAAGAGAGCAGTAAGAAGTATGGGTTAAGGGACTGGGCAGCAAAGGGTTAAGGCCGGGGCGGAACCACTGAAAACCACTCGGAACAGTCGGTGGTCGATGGCTTGGTGGCTCGGTGGTTCGTGTGTTGTTGTATTATCATTATCGAGCGATCTCAATCGCTGCTAATTAATTTCTAGGGTATTTAAGTTAATTTACATACGGACAACAAGCACCCGCGTTCAGCTGCCGCGAGCCAGAAGGAAACTCAAGAATTGAGAGCCCAAAAAATAGAAGATTATGAGCGAGTGAGAGTGAGAGGGGCACTTCAACGCAGAAAGAGACGGCGCGACTGAGGACTTATGCCACGCAGAGTAAACTGTGTGCGTAGGCGTCGTCGCTTAATTTTCGTTAATTAAAACAAATGCCCGGACATCCAATGCCCTTCCCACGGAGAAAAAGAACTGCTGGAAAACGCTGAGAGGTTTTCATTTCCGTGCCATTAAACAGGCAGTTAACTGGCTGCGCGATCGCAGCACTTTCGAAATTGGGAAAGCCACTCAATTGCATTTAGGGTGGGCAGCATTTAAGGCCGCGAATCAAATTAAATTAGTACTGCAAGAAGGAAAAGACCGCTCACAGATTTTTTCTTTATATTTTTATAGTTAGAACTACCATTTTTATAACCTTGCAGAGGGTGTCATCATCTTCCAGATGATATTTTCTAACTACTATTGAATTTCAAATTAAATTTTATCAAAATCGAATAACTACATCATAAAGCTGCCATAGGAAAAAATGAAATAAATTGATAACTTCGTTGTTTTTATCCCACGTGCATGTTTTTATGAATTTCGACTTTTACAACAACCCTTAAACCGAGAAAAAAAATGTCATAAAAATAGGAAAACTACATCATATAGCTGCCATAGGAAAGTTCGAAAAATCTATATAAAATGTCACATGCATTTTGAGGTATTCCAATCCGAATCGGTCTTCAAAAGATATAGGCTTTCAAGTGTTGGATATAAAGTAAGCGGACATTGGATCAGTTAAATTACAATTAAATTGCATTCTTTCGAATAGATTGGTGGGTTTCTCTGTTTTTTAAAACTATACTTTGTTTGGCTGTAAGTTGTTTCTTTCCCAAATTACCAATGGAAAAAGTTTTTTTTTGCCCAAAACTACAAAAAATGGCTTAAAAAACCCAGTTTTTTTGCATTATCTAAGGAAGTACTCTTCCAAATGTGGAATGGCATACATCGTTGAATTCGCAATAAAATTTCCTATCCGATGGTATAAACACCCAAAAAAGTTGAAATTTTGCCATTTTTCGCAAAAAATGACGATGTTACCCCTTATGAAAATTGCGAAAATTGGCCAAAAATCATTTGTTTTAAATCGTCCAAAAAGTGATTGGGCTCGTTAACTGTGGTCATAAGGTGCTCAAAACAGTGTTTGGTTTCGCTGTAAGTCACTTTTTGGCCCTATTACAACCAAAAAACCACTAAAAAGATAGGATTTTCTACCAGAATTGTCAACTGATCTTTCCCAAATCAGTTTTTATGAATTAACTAAAGGCTGGCAATAAAATGGCTTTCAATCAAAAAGATTGTAAGGCTTCTCTGGTTTCTAACACTATACTTTGTTCAGATGTAAGTCGTTTCTTTCCCAAACAACACACAAAAATCATTTTAGAATATGAAAAAAATTGCATAAAATCATAAAAAATAACTTTGTTATTTAAAATAAAAATTGTCTCTATCTCAGGGGAAAATAAATCGTATGTACAGTACCGTAATTCACATCGATTTCGTTTTAATTTCGGTTTTGTTGGATAAATAAATTTATCACTATTATTATTAACAATTTTATTAGTTCTTAGCAGGAGACACACAAGGGAATCAGGTTTTTAGATTTTCTGTTGAAGTATATGATTAGAGAATAATGTGTAATAATAACATAAAATAATAATAAGATATATACTTGCATAAGTAACTTATTTATAATAATACAAAATATAATATAAGAATAATAGAATTTGACCTTTTTTAATATATTAAATATTTTTTTTCTTTCAGGATTCATCGATTAACGAGGGCAGCTGGAAACCGAAGGACATGGCAAAGTTTCGGGCCAGATTCATAGAGGAGGAAGTCGGCGATACAATATACTATAATATGAAACAAAAAACTATAATAAGATTATTAATATAAGAAACGAACTTATTATTTATTTAGAAATCGATATTTTAAAGATAATAAAAACTAACTAATGAAATTATTGACTGTTTTAATGTGAGAGGCGTGTGGGGAATTTTTTAGACACCAGCTAAAAAGAAACGTGTAGCAGGTGTATTTCGATTTAATCTAAATAATATTTATCGTCACGTCTGATTCTGTCCATTTGGACAGCCAAATTGGCAATTTCTGAAAACAGAATACCAGGCGAACAGAAATCTCTAGTAGGTGGCAACAAAATAAGATATCCAAAATCAGCAGCCCCCTAAGATATGCAACAATTTCCTCTATGGATGGTACTAAGGGTCGTGGTTCGAAACTTGACTATGCTCGATCCACGCAAAATACTGGGATTGTGTGTTGAGCATCACTAATAGTATTGGGTTTGAAACTCGGATAAAATTATAAATTAATTTGATAAATTCCACCTTCTAGGAACTTCTGTTTGCCTGGTACTTTGTTTTCAGAAATTGCCAATTTGGCTGTCCAAATGGTCAGTAATACTTTTCGAACTCGTTTTTTTCCATCGAATTTAGGGATTTGAGCCATCATCTCCTTTTTAGCCACTCCTTATGAGGATATTCTATAAACCACTCATAATTTTCAATATAGCCCCAAACCAAGAAAAAACATTTTATTTAATTTCATTTTCATTTAATAATAACATAAAATCTATAATAAAATATCCTATATTTAAAAAATTATCTCTAAAGTAACATAAAACCTTAATAATAAATAAATCACTCTGCCCGTCCAAGGCAAATAATTGTCTGCTGCTCCTCGATGAATCCCCCAACGTGGTTTCAGCTGCTCTCGTTGATCGATGGGTAGATGAGTATGGAAAAGAATGGTCAGGAAACTTCCGTTGAGATAATAGGATTTTTGCCAATTTTTGTAGAAAATCCTATCTTTTTAGTGTTTTTTTGGTTGTAAAAGGGCCAAAAAGTGACTTACAGCGGAACCAAACACTGTTTTGAGCAACTTATGACCACAGTTAACGAGCCCAATCACTTTTTGGACGATTCAAAAAAAATGATTTTTGGCCAATTTTCGCAATTTTTATAAGGGGTAACATCGTCATTTTTTGCGAAAAATGGCAAAATTTCAACTTTTTTGGGTGCTTATACCATCGGATAGGAAATTTTATTGCGAATTCAACGATGTATGCCATTCCACATTTGGAAGAGTACTTCCTTAGATAATGCAAAAAAAACTGGGTTCTTCAAAGCCATTTTTTGTAGTATTTATTAGCCCTTAGCAGGAGGCACACAAGGGAATCAGGTATATATATACTTTATGCGGTCTGAGGTGTCTCCTTCACTGCGTTTCAAACTTCTGGCCAAAGTTATAATACCCTTTGCTCTGCAAGGGTATAATAATCCTAAAGAAATCTACATTAAAATAAAACTCACAACTCCAAAACGGGTAGTCTCGGTGTTAAATATCCAATGAGCCTTTTGAAATTCGAGCATATACATTTCGAGCTCATTTTTGAAGCTTGCCAGAAATTCCTAGACCGAAAATCGATAGCCCTAGACCTCGAAAATGTCCAAGCCAGGTGAAAATGCCAACACCGATCCGAATTGCAAGTCAGATGACAGCAAGTTTCGCAAGCTAAAGTTCGCCGGCTGTTGCCACCTAAAGGACGAGGCCCTGGCGCGTCTCTATAAGATCGATCCTCACCGCTGAGAAGCTGGCCTCCGTGGGTCTGCAGCGGAGCTGCCTGATCGATGACTACCGGCATCTGCACGAGGTTTCGTTGATGTAGGAGCAGGAGCGGTAACCGGATCGTCCAGCCAAGCCTCAAAATCCACGGAAACTGCGATCCAGGTTGCCAAAGATGTCCAAATTCTACAATATATATAATATATTATTTTGTTATGTTATTGCATTATTATATTTTTGTTATATATTATCTTATATATATAAATCTCCTGTCACGATGTTTGTCCGCGATGGACTCCTAAACTACTTAACCGATGTTAAATTAAATTGGCATACCATGAGCAGTCTGGTCCAACTTGAGAGATAGGATAGCTTAGATCTTTAATTATAGTCGCAATTTTATTTTATTGCTAATTATTTGTCTATAATGGATTATGTTCGCCTGGTACCTAGAAGTGGATTTTCCAATTTGTCCCTTCGAATTCGTTCCGCCAATACCAACATATTCAACCAAACCTCATTTTGAAGTACCAGGCGAACAGAATGCAATAGTAGGTGGTTACTTTTTTTTAATATTTTCAAATTGCCCGCAAAAGTATGCTATAAAAAATAAGCAAGAGCAACACCACGTTTTGTCTACGAAATATTGGCAAATTTGCTGCTATGCTAAACCGACAATAGCCTGATTACCACGTGTTATTGAGGTTAAGGTATAAATAAAATTTATTTTGTAGTAAACGAAATAGCGTGAAATTCTAATATTTCTACTTTTTTAATTTTTGGTGTTAGCATAGCCAACCACGTACGTAGACCGAAGTGTAAATCAAATTCAAATTATAGTGACGAATTATTGTCATACAGTGAAATCATTCCTGCTTTTTAGTTATCTGTGCTTCATTATTCAAAATTCTGTAGATATAAAAAATACACATACAGGTATTGTCACATAATAATTATAATAGTAAATTAAAATGCCGCCGAAAAAATCTAATCTCAACAACGTGAGCAACAGAGAGGCACGACGCAAACGTGTTGAAAGAGCTCATCAGTTGCCAGAACAAGTCGATACAAGAAATACAGCTCAAAGAATTAGGACAGCGGAAGGTCGTGCACAAGAATCTCAAGAACAGCGTAGCGAACGCCTGCAACAGAATATTACGAGAACAAGAGCGGCACGAGAACGAAACATAGATACAGTACGAGCACAAGAACGACAAAGGCAACGGATCAGCCGCTCATTAGTACGTACATCATTCGTTCGTCTTGCTTTTGAATATGCACCAGATATTAACTACTCTGCGCATTCAAAAATTGCTATTGGTGGAATGGATAAAGTATGTCAATATTGTCAGGCGTTGAAATTTCGAAATGAAACTACCGGTATGTGCTGTGCAGCAGGAAAAGTCGTGCTGCCACCTCTACCCCCTCCGCCAGAACCTTTATTATCCCTTCTTGCTGGGAATTCAAATGATTCAAAATTGTTTTTGCGTAAAATACGCAAATTTAATTCTTGCTTCCAAATGACATCATTTGGGGCAACTAAAATTTGTGATCTTGCATCCGATGGACGTAATTTTGAAACTACATTTAAAATACAAGGCCAAGTGTACCACAAAATTGGATCATTGATGCCAATGCCTGATGTTAATCCGAAATTTCTTCAAATTTATTTTATGGGCAATTGTCAAGAGCGTGCAACGACTCGGTGCCAGTATAATTTCATTGTACAAGCAAAGGAAGAAGCAATTGTGATATTACTGGAACATTTTTTAGAAGATCAGAATCAACTACTTCAATTAATCAAAAGAGTTTCGCCACGATTGCAAGATGACAACTACCAAATCGTTATAAAAGCCGATAAAGTACCATTAGGTGAACATGCTGGAAGATTCAACGCTCCAACTATTGGCGAACGCTTGCGATTCATTCGATTCAACCAGGCTAAATTGCGATCAGAAGAATATATTCACTTACGAGATGCTGTTGCTGGAAATATAGACGGAAATTTAAATCCTAATGACATCGGTAATGCTTTTATTTTACCTTCAAGCTACATTGGCAGTCCACGAAACATGCAGGAATACATACAACGTTAGCAAAAGACAGGTTAACCAAAAATATTGTGCAGCAATTAGTACTAAATTAAATTGAAATTGAAAGTATATATAGTTTAAAATAATAAATATTACTGTTAGAGACTTAAGACTATCTGCCTTACCTACAGTTCCTCTTTAATTGTATACTTCAATATAATATTACAATAACTTTAGCTACAGCAACGCGTAGCCGGGTCTGCTAGTACTATTATATGTCATTACTGCAAGGGTATATAAGCTTCGGCTCGCAGAAGCTAGCTTCCATTCTTGTTTCTTTATATTTTTATAATTAGAACTAAATTAAAATAAGTATCAGGCAAACGCCCTTAACAAATTTTTCTGTGGTTAAAGTTGTCCTTGATTCATAGCACACAAAGTGGCCAAAACACATACATAGCTGATTCGATCAAATCAAATCAACAACAATCTAGTTAATATCCAACAAACAAGCCAGCTCAACCTCGACTCCTTCTCAGAATACCCAAAATGTTTCTTTTTTGAGAATTGTTCTACTTTGCGCGACGTTTGCGATAAAAACTTAATAAATAAATTGACTTTATGGTTATGGAGCGCATTCGGATAGAGATAGAGCCACAGATGCAGCGGGGAGACGGGGTGGCAGATATGTCCGCAGATATCCAGGGCTACGAACATATGACGCTCCGACGTACAATGTCCTCGTCGTCTCGAGCTCATCCTCATTCCCGTTCCATCCTAGTCCTCCCAAAGTCCTCGAGTCGCGGCTCGTGGCAGGCTTTTGTGATGCCGCAAATAAAACCATAAATAAAACGCAAACGGCTGTCCGCTGCCCTTAAACGCACCCCCTCCGAATCAAAAGTATACCCTCCCCCTCTCCATTTCACTCTCCAGCATTCACTTTTATCAGGCGCAAAATGTATTCATGAGTAATTGTCACGCGGGCAAAATAGGATGGGAAATGGTTACGCACGGGCAGAAAATTATAGCGAATTAGTAGGGGAGCTGTTAAGCCACTGACTATTTTCGTTTACTTTTAAGATTTTGTTGCAGTTCTACAATATATAAATCAAATATCACAAAATAGGCATAGCAACAAAAATAAGAAAGTAATATCCTAGCATTATTCATATCCCTTAAGTAGATTCAGTTTGCAAAGAGCAATTAATAAGATAAAATGAAACTTAAATCCAAGCTTATCTCGAGCAATGACATAACAATTATTTAAACCATCCCTTTTTGCATTATTTTTCTCTGTGTGCCAGCGGACAACTACTTGGATAGAGAGTTGGACGAGCAGATGGAAGGATGCCTGGCTGAGAGAATGACTAGGGAATTGGATTCCGACTTCGACTCCGATTCCGATTCCGAATGAGAATGAAAATAAAAATGGGAATGGGAATGAGGATGTTGTTGTTGGAAGCATTGGCAGCGGACGGAAGCTATCGGCCGCGCGGAAGTGAGCGGCCGCCGCTGGCGTTTTGGCCACGTGATCGGAAGGAAGCTCGACTTGCGAATTGAAACATCCGATGCAGACGACAAGGACATCTCGATGCTTCGATGTCAGCGACAGCCTCCTCCTCCTGCGTCCGGCGCATCCTCAAAAGTCCTCGGGCAAAGTGACACCAAATCGTCGGCTAATCTGTCAATGACTTTTTCAGTGGTTTTCACCCCCGAAAACCCAACCCCCAAATCCTTTTACCCAACTCCTCTGCAGTAAAATATATTCCGCACACTTTCTAATTATATGTAAACAGAACGAGGGTTGCCCGAAATCCACAATTTAGAAGTGTTTGAGAATTAAGTAAAGTAAATTGCTCTAAATGTTTAACTATTGTGGTGGCTTTGTTTGTCCAGAAAAGAGGTTTGTTTACACATATGTGGGATAAACTAATTTTAAATCTTTGTAGGAAAGTTGTCATTTTTTTGATATTAAGACAATTTGATGGTCAATAATAGCTGGCGAGTACTTCTCCTAATTTCTGCTCCGGTTTTCCCTGTGAGCAAGTGTGTGTGTAAAGCACCATTCATTGTTGTCTTGAAAGCCCAAAAGTTGTTGTGTTTATTGTTGCTGCCGTGGCTTACTGGCAGCATTTTGTTGCTGTTGTTGTTCTTGCACAAAAAAATGTTTGACTGGCGCCACTTGAATAACTTAGGCGAAGATGTCGCTGGACGCAGAGAGAAAAGGGTTCGAAAAGCAGGAGGAGCAGGTTTGCCGGCGTCGTTGTCTCAAAATAAAGACGATCCAATCCGAAAAAAATTCGAACGAGTGCACACTTAAAGGCAAAAGGACATGAAAAGAACACGACAAAAGGATTGCCAAAGACTTTGGAGTTTTACGCTCCTTGAAACTCCTCAGAAAATGCCATTGCAAAATGGTTCATTGAATGAGTCTTTTTCCTGGACCCTATATCAGTCCAACTTTTACAAAAAAATCAAATAGATCTGCTAGTACAAAATACCTTATAACGATATCACCTCCACATCACTTCGGATAATGATCACAATTGAGTTATAAGCAATTTAAGTGAATCCTTGTTGCACATTATTTTCTTGCTGTGTGAAGCTCTAAGCTCCACCTGAAAACGCCGCAGAAAAGCCCCATCGAAATCCCTATTTTTCGTGTAGTTCACTGGCAGCCAACGCGCTTTTGTTTCAGAGCTCTGGTTCAGAGCTGGCTGGATGTTGCTGATGTTGTACCGATGTTGTTGCTGTGCATTGAAGACGTTGCCGTTGCCGTTTGTTTGATCAGAAGCCGATGCCGCCGCCTCAGCGGAGTTATGCGCTCCACAGTCCTTTTGGTAGCCTTTTTTCGTTTTCATGCCGGGCTACTTGAGGCGCCACCAGGCTTCTGGCCGGCTAAAAATGCCATGTTTCCCAATGTCGCCCCGTCTCTTTCGCAGCTGCACAGGCCGTCTCTTTCGCCTGCCTGCTGCTCCTTCCCCTTTTGGCTGTGTGTTGGCCGCAGCGCCTTTCGTTGGCGCTAAGCAACGCAGGCCAATTGGCGTCATCCTTCATGCCAGTGCCAGTGGGGATATATTTACTTATGCCATATATCTCGGCCACTTGTGTGTGTGGTGGCACTTGCCGCGCTTCATCCTTTTTTTTTTTTTTGAGGCACTGCTTCAAACAGGTAGTGTGCCACAAAATGAACTAAAGACGAGCATGCACTTGGTAAACAGTTTTGCATAGAAGATAACTATTATATATAGTTTGAAACGTGGTAGGCATAAATACAGGCTCAGATATTTACGTAACACTTCCACAAAATAGTCATTGTTTTTTTCGTTCTGTGTGGCCGCCCCGGCAACCTCAGTAAATCAAAAAGCCGCCACAGCAACATTATGGGGCAGCAGGCTCCAAAAACCTAGGCGGTGGTCCCTGGGATCCTACGCTTGGGACCTTCATACCTTCACGAAAACAAAAACAAAAACACAAAAACCGAAAAAAAACTGTCGGCATATTTCTTGTTTTCATTATGCCACAATTCATTTTTTCATTTTGCGAGAGTCCCTCTCCACTTTTAGGCAATTTATTATATTGCTTGAACAGCGCGATTATTATTCCTAATATTGTGATTCCACCAACATTTGCTAGATTTACCAAAAGCTCTTTTATAGAAAGTAATTTTCAGACATTGGATTATTTTCATTTCATTTTGTTTCTATGCGTGGAGACAACTTAAACTTTAAATTCAGAATATCTGACCTCATATCTGTACAAGTTGCGAAGTTGCTGGCTTCTGGCCTGGCATTAAACGAAGTGGAAAATATTTTGAGAGCCCCAGCTCGAATGTGTGACAAAATCAGGGGCACTTTCATCGGGCGGGTGGCTTTGGGGGGTCGGCGCTCGGAGGGGTTGAGTGGGGAATACTCTGCCGACAGTCAGGCAATTAGCTTTGTGCCACACATAGTCAAAGCTTCGGGACAAGCTGCAGCATCGTCGCAGTCGAAAAAATAAAAGAACCGGGTCAAGTGCTGCTCCACGAAGAAGGAGCACAAGATGTCACCCAGCCACCCACTCTTTAAAGATACTACGCATTCGGACAAGTGCGCCCATTAGGCAGCGGCACAGGATTTTCAGGGAAGCAGGCAGGAGCAGTGAAAATCAAGTGGAAAACATGGGATGCAGAATGAAGGGGGGAGGGGTGAAGGGATTGGGAATGGAGGCAACAAAAAAGGTGGAGCCACGGCGACATGACAAACATGACATGGCTGAAAGTTTGACAGGCGGGCGCTCCTTTCTCTAATGGGGAATACAATATGCACAGCGAGGAGAAATCATCGCGAGCGCCCGCCAGACAGCGCTGCTCTCAAGGACCTCCTGGACATCCCGGAACACGGACCTGGACAAGATCCCCTTTCCGGCCAGCGGCCAGCGCATGTTTGCCTTCAATTAGAAGTTTTTTGGGCTAGCAAATGCCTTCGGCCTGTTGTTCTCGTCAGCTGCGAAAAGTGGAGCAGCAACAGATGCACTGTGAGAAAAGCGAGAAACATGAGTACATCTAAATACTTAACGCTTATACGATACAAGTTTAAGCTGATCAGCTGATTTTGCCTGGTAATTTGGTACTAGCTAAGGGATCAGGTAAATGACAATTATATTTTCTTCAATAAAATAGATAGTTGGACTTTCCTGGTGTTCAAAACTATACTTTGTTTGGATGTAAGTTGTTTCTTGCCCAAATAACAGACAAATTACCAATGGAAAAAGTTTTTTTTTGCCCAAAACTACAAAAAATGGCTTTAAAAAACCCAGTTTTTTTGCATTATCTAAGGAAGTACTCTTCCAAATGTGGAATGGCATACATCGTTGAATTCGCAATAAAATTTCCTATCCGATGGTATAAGCACCCAAAAAAGTTGAAATTTTGCCATTTTTCGCAAAAAATGACGATGTTACCCCTTATGAAAATTGCAAAATTTGGCCAAAAATCATTTTTTTTGAATCGTCAAAAAAGTGATTGGGCTCGTTAACTGTGGTCATAAGGTGCTCAAAACAGTGTTTGGTTCCGCTGTAAGTCACTTTTTGGCCCTATTACAACCAAAAAACCACTAAAAAGATAGGATTTTCTACCAAAATTGTCAACTAATCAATTCCAAATTGGTTTTTATCAACCAACTAAAGGATGGCAATAAAATAGCTTTCAATTAAAAAGATTGTAAGGCTTCTCTGGTTTCCAAAACTATACTTTGTTCAGCTGAAAGTCATTTCTTTCCCAAACAACGCAAACAAATCATTTAAAATACAAAAAAAAATTTATAAAATCATTAAAAATAACTTAGTTTTTTGTATCTATCTCGGTAAGTGCTGATCTAAATATGGAATAGAATATATCCGAAAATACTGGTGGGTGGCCCGATCCAGTTTGTTGAACCGTCCGCTGGCCAATTGAGATATTAGCAGCACTGCCATCGGGCCAAGACGAAGAGCACCACCCCACGGATCGGTGGACCCCTGGACCTTAACCCCTCGGCAGCCAGCCATTAACCCGCGACTGGTCCGCTGGCGAGCCAAGATGCAATTTGGCCAACACTCATTCATTATGTCTCACAGTTATTTGGCCCGACTCGTCTGCAATTGGATTCAATTTAGTTACGAGTCCGCTGATGGGATCGAGCCCTCCCCCTTTCGCTGCACCACTGCACCACCGCACCACTGCACCGCTGGGTAGGCGGAGGGCGGTGGTTAGGCAAAACGTCCGAGACACGAACCACGCCAAAATCGATATGACTCGATTAACGTGCTTGGATCGTCTTCGTCTTCGTCGTCGTCTTCGTCTTTGTTGTCGTCCTCATCCTCATCCTCGTCGTCGTCGTCGTCGTCGGTGGTGCTATTGATGCCTGTGGTTGGAGCTGCAGCCGGGACTTGTGCGACTTGGAGCCGATCTGCAGCCGCCGCCCCAAGCTGCTGCCGAGTGTTGGTGGCGCCAGGCCAAGGCCGATCGAGAAGTTTCGGAAGAGGTTTTCAAAACTCTTAAGCTTTGATTTGTAAAGATTCAAAAGGTATTTATAAAATAAAAAGTTGAAATAAACAGAAAACACCATAATAATGTGGATTTCATTTAGGCAGCTCTACTGCTCTGTATACTCTTGGAAGTATACTCTTTCACTAACCCCTCGATGGGATTTCGAGGCAGGTGCAACTCGTCTATCGCCCCTCGGTGAGACGAGAGCTGGGAGTCTGGAGCCAGACTCCTTCCTCGACTCCCAGATCGGGCAGCTACTTCTACTTTGCGTGGTCGCGTTCATCATTTTGGTGTCTTGTTTTGTGGGTTTCATTGCTTTCGAGGCCCCGCACTTCTCGGCCGCCCCAGCAACGTGCTTAAATATCTGGGCGGAACTTGATGAGATGATGGGCAATTATCTGCGGGAGGTCCCGCACACACAACCACATGGGCGCAGGGGTCGAGGGGCGAGGGGATGGGGGGCTGGAAACAAACTATGTCTTACAACGTTGTGCCAGCTCGACTTTTTTGTTGCCTTCACTCTGCCTCTTTGGTGCCTCTTGCTTCTCTTTTTGTTGGTTTTTTGTTGGTTTTTGGCCAGGGCAATGCGATTTTGTGGTTGCGTTGCGCATGCGCGCCAGCTTCAGCGCCATCGCCATCAACGCCTCTCCAATCCTCCGATCCACCGGGTGCGAGCGGAAGGGCTGGCGGCGGTGGGAGCGAGAGGGCCGCACTGGGGGGCCAGTCGGTGCGAGAGAGAGCGGAACACACACGTTGGCCGCGCTCAGAGGGAGAGAGACACGCGTGCGCACTAACAAGCGACGACAGCTGAGATCAGTGGCGGCGAGGGGGGTGCATAGGTGGTGCAGCGGGGGGGGGCAGGGAGGCGGTGGTGCTGGCATCTCGGCTGCAGCGGCAGCCAATCATTGCCTCAAGGCCAATTTGGGGCAACAAAGGAGCTGCAGATGCGTAGAGCCATTTAGCCAGCCAGAGATGGCATTGATGTATAAGGTAAAAAATAAGGATCAACAAAATAAAGTCCCAATAAAAGGTATTATTAGGGAAATCAATAATATTTAAATTATTAGACCGCTATGAGTACAGTTTTCGGTTTTTGAAATAAATTCCATTTAAAAGTTTCCCTTAAATAAATAAATCTTCCCTTGAAACTGATCCCAAACTTAGTTTTCGGCAAGTATTCCCCATTAACCGAATGTTTCTGCCCGGTTAGGGGCCAGATGGCCATCACTACCACTCGGAGCGGCAGCCATTGTGTGGTGGTAGTGGTGCGGTGGTGCCGTCTGTGCTGGTGGTGGTGCTGGCGTCGCTGCGGTGGCGGCTCTGACGGCTCTGGCGGCCAAACAAACACGATGAGGCGTTGTTGGCGTCAGGAAAACTGCAGACGGGCCGAAAGTCCCGCTTCTTTTAGCCGGCGACGCCCTGGCGACTCTGAAGCGGTAGAATCTACAAAGTCTGAAGATCGGCGAACCGGGAAAGAGGAGACAGGAGAATCAGGAGAATCGGAGTCGGGAGTCGAAGGGGCGGGCAGCGAAGCTGACACGCTGGCATTCAATAATTGCCTTGGAAAGTATGCGCTTCTCTCGGATGCAGTCGCAGTCTTCCAACTCTTCGGTCTTCGCAGTCTTCGTTCTTCGGAGGAGAGCGGAGAACGGAACGACTCTCGATTCGATTGGCTGTTGGCTTGGAGAATCACTCAACCGGGGGAGAATCGAGTGGCAGGCAAGACTACTCCACTCTCTGCCACAATCCGATGCCACAATCCGAATCCACTGGCAATTAATTACTTTTGCCCGGCCAGCGATAGCTGTGAGAAATGATTTCATTTTGTGGCAGCAGCTAATTGGCCGCAAAGGCCGCCAGTTGGGGGCGAGGGGGGAGGGGCGGGAATAGAGTGATCTTCTCCGGCGATTCACTTTACCGTTCTTCCAGCAAATATCGATCACTAATGGCAGAGCTTAATGAGATTGCTTTAAAGAGAATGCCGGGCCAAACCAACTGTTTCCCTGATTATCTCTCATGGTTTGTTGTCCCAAAACTTTCGTTTTTGCTTTCAGATTTTGAACAGAACTCGAAATCCTTTACAAATCAATTACAAGGGGATTTCCATCATTTAAATGTCAATCCGTTTAGCAGTAATTGCCAGGCAGCGACCCTTCAGCTTGAAGATGTCAGGCCAATTGCCCCGATCGAGGTTGAGTTTGTGCCTCACAAAGGATCGAGGGGTAAGGCCACATCCTTCCGATCCTCGGGGATTATCCGCAGCCACTTCGGCCGCATCCTGATCCCTCCGCTTATCGCTTATCGCTTATCGGGGATCTGCTGTGCAGTCGGCTCTTCAGCCACTTCAACTTAATTACTGCACGCTCGACAAACAAAGCCACTGTTCCACTCCAGGATGTCAACCCCACATGCTAAACCCTTAATGCTAAATGCTATATTCTACCTTTTCACTTACCTCACTTTCCTCCACGAGATGCAAATGAAGAGTTGGAGAGTCGAACTAAAGAAATGGCCAGCACTCGGCGAGGAGAATGATGAATGACAGTTGAAGATTCACTGATTCGGGCAACAGGATCCGGAAGCCAAAGAGATGCCTGCATCGCACTGCAAGAAATTTGAAATCGTTCAGGTATTTGCTTCTGTATTGATAATGATTTATGCCAGGACACTCGATTTGATCTCCCAGAGAAACCTACTATTCCTTGATCTCAGGTAAATGACTTCCCTTCCCTATTCCCTATTATTATTAGTAGCAAACCAAATATTTCCCCCTGAACTTACCCACATTGGCCATCCTCGAGTGTGTGATTGCTATCAACAGCTTGATTTCGGTTCAGTTTCACCGCTCTTTCGCTTTCCGCCAACAAAGGCCTGTCCTTGTGTTTGTTTTTGCTTTTGTTTTTGTTGCCTGTCCTGTTGTTTTGTTTTTCCAACTGCTTTGCCAGCGATTCGAGTCCTGCGAAGGCAGCACTTCCTTCTGGCGGCGTGCAGCGAAGCGGATGAGCTGCATAGTTGGCCAGCAAGGTGGAAAAATCAGAGCACCGCTGCTGTCGGAGGGAAAGGAGATCAGAACTGAGGCCTGAGGTCTAATCACTGAGCAGCAAGGATGCAGGATATAGGATATGCGACGGCATAGTTGCTGCACAATGAGCTAGCCGGGGCTCATCCCCTTATCATCCTCATCCTCATCCCGAGGATAATTGCTTTTGTGCAATTATGCGATTTGTTTATAGGCCAATAAGTTTGTAAAGGTCCTTCCGGCATAGTTGATGCGCCTGCGAGCGGTTGAGAATGCCCTCGGAAAGGAAGTGACACACGGAGAAAAAACCGAAGGACGTTGGCCACCATTTGAGAGGCTTTTTGCATCTTTGCATCAAGGATATATAGATATAGATTGGGCTTAAAATGCAGCTAGGATGTGATTCAACTGGCATCCATCTTGTCCGCCTCCTGATTCAATAAACAAAACCGAGAGCGAGACTAACGCGCAAATCGACGATGGACAAGAACCATCAATAAGCCGCTATCAACTATCAAAATTGGCTTAAGTGGTGCAGCCGGGTGGTGCGGCGCGTGGTGGTGCAGCAGCCACCTGCCCGGAACAATGCCACCCTGCCACCGGCGAGTGATATATTTTTCACGCTCATAAAATAAATGTCAGCCATAAACCGTGACTAAGTCGGGGGACAAACAAATTACTAAATAAACGCGCACTGCAAACCGAATGGTGGCCATTCTGCTGATGATCTAAGCTCGTGTGGGTGGACATGGGCGTCCTCAAGGGGGTTCTATACTATTCAGAAGTATTCAGAAGAATTCAGAAGTATTCAGAAGATAAAGCGGTCAGATAAAGTACGATAATTATAGTCCCAGAACAGAACAGAGCAAATAACAATGGAAACTGGGAACTTAAATATTTTGCACTCACTTTGAATATTTTGCATAGACTTTGCCAAGCTATTAAGCTCCGAAATCCTTCTGGAAACTCCGCTCCTGCCTCCGACAAGTGTCCATGTGTCCATCGAAAACACCCACATGTGAGTCGAGATTTGGGCCCCATGCCCGCCGCATCCGCATCCAAAATGTAAATATTTAATTTCGAAACAGTGTAACTAAAGGGATTTGAAACGCGCGTGGCTGACACAGGGTTATTTTACTCCGGAGGGGGGGAAATCAACGGAACCCGCAGGATTCGACATGGTCCATTTTATTATGGTTTGGGAAATTGCCCTCGTTGTGACATGTGAAATGTTGCAATTTGCTCTGCTGGGGGATTCGGTTTCACCCAAAAGATGGCCGTAGAATCCCAACGATTTTGGAGAGAGCGCATCCCAGTTTCGGCTTTCTTGTGGTGTCCAAAGATCTTTTGGTGATTTGTACACTCTGGAAAATGCAGTAGTTCGATGTATTATTGCATGCACAGTATCAAGTATTACACTTTAACTTATCAGCATTAAAGGATTTATGAATTCACGTAGCTGGTTCTAAGATAAATCACTTATTAGCTGCCTCCCAGCATCTGCTATTCGAAAGTAGTCCGATTTTTTCCCAGTGCACGCCACACCCTCGCACAAGCTGGCCGCATAACAAATGACATGTGTCCGTGTCCTTTTTTTTATGGCCAAATAATATCGAGATAAGCGGCGCATTAGACAAAAGCCAGCCAGACGACTTCCTTCAGCCACTCAGTTCAGTTTGGTTCATTTTGGTTCAGTTTGTTTCAGTTGAGACTGCGGGTCCCTGGGGCGTCCTTTTCGCAGGACCTCGACCTGGTCACCATAGGTGCGCCTTCATCCTTTTCACCCTTCCTCCTCCCCTCCCTTCATTTTCCCCCAAGATTTTCCATCGCCCGTGCGGAGTCGAAAGTTTTCGCCTTTGCCTTCTTAATCGATTGATTGCTGCGTGCTTAGTTTTTTATGCGGGATCTGGCTCAAATCCCCGCATCCTGGGTGTCCGTTTTCCCTCGGATATGATCTAATTGCAAATTGTCCTGGGCGAAAGGGAGAATTCAAAGTTGGACATCGAAGTTATCAATGATTTTCCTCTGCCAGTTTTAAAGCACTGCTCACTGACAGAAAAGAGTTTTTTAAAACCGATAGTTTGGGTTTATAAACTCGAACATATCAAATAGTAACATTTGATACATAAATGAAGGGAATACTTTGTTAAACTCTGAGGAATGCTCACACTTTCTTCTATCGCTAAACTAGCTTAAGCCACGTTTTAACCTCTTCTAAATCACACATCGATTTCAGCTCCATTTTTAGTACCCCTTTCGACGCCCGACTCTGGTTTAAAATAAACGTTATTTAGGGCCCTCGGCTGGCAACTTTATGGTGATGGGATAATCCTCCCGGGCAATCAAGGGCTCCCGGCATTCCGGCATTTCGGCAACCCATCCTCGCATCCTGGGCGCCCTCCCTTCGCTTCGGGATTATCCTGATGGCAATCAAATGTTTTGCTAAATGTTAAAGACCGCAGGCCCAGCGGGTGATATGGCGGCTATAACCATCGCTATAACATCGCTGCTGAGCTGCCGAGTGGGTGGTGCTGGGTGATGGGTGCTGAATGCCGGGGTTCAGAGGTCACACCTCTCGGCTGGCTATGCAAATCTCGCCGCTGTGGTTAATTTTGTATGCGCTGACAACAATTTAATTTGCAAAAGCCATAAAAATGAAATAAAATTTTCAATTGTAGCTGTTGGGCGTGGATTCGCCCTTGGTGTTTTTTTTTTTTTTTTTTCAGTTTCCTCTGGCTTGGGAGTGGGTGGTTTTGGGTCGGTGTTGTGGTTGGGGTTGGGTGTCTCTGATTTGGATATTGGATTCGGTTCTGGTGGCTGCACTTGGCAGTGCGCAAAGTGACGCCGTCGACGCTGCCAATGACACTGTAATCGCAATCGCAACCCTCCTCCGTTGGCTTTTGCGCCAGCTCATCCTCGGTTCGCCTCCCCACTCCTGCCACCCCCTCCCCTCCTCCCTCATCCCTCATTCGACCTTGGCTTCCTGTTGACGCCTGCGACCGACCGCCCGACTGGCTCAGCATCCTCTGCTCGGCTGCCTTTTTGACTGCCAAATCTATTCCACTTGCTCGGCTTTGTGTGCTCGCGTTTTTTGACTATTCATCGACCCCACCACCCACAGCACCCACTTCTCACCCACTGGCGGCGCGGTGGTGCAACCCTCTCAGGCATAAATCACAGTGACAAACTCGTCGCATGCAGAGGCGCGGAAAGCGAAGCGTGGCTTGTTGTCACGAAAAGCGAAGGTGGGTCACTTGGGCGGCAACAGTGTCACCGAAAAATCTGTAAGAATTTCTTAACAATTAAAACGAGGCGATGGAAGCAGGAAAACCGCCTCCATAGCTTCCCTATAAACTCAGACTGAGTTAAAAAATAACGAAAACTAATTCAAATTTTGAATAGCTCATCCCTTCATAAAAAAAGAGAGAAAACGAAAACAGAATATGTACATTAGTTCTTAAATTTTTAAATGGTAAGAAGTGTATATCCCTTATCCCTTTTTAGATTTGATTTTTAACTTTTAAGTTGAACCCTTAATTTCTCGGCACTTGGAGCACCAAAATAACCAATCCGAGACCGAGATGTCGGCGAATACAAATGCAATTTGACAAAATGTACGCCCGAGAGTGGCGTAAACAAATTAGGATTGATTTGGACACACAGATGGCGGGTGGCTGGGCAATCAAAGGCTTAGGCTGGGTCACTAATAACTTATTGAAACGTGCCCGGCACTCGAAAGCCGTAATCCCAGTGCGACTCGCCGTCTTCTATTGACAGACAATCAACATCAGCCACTTGAGCGACGGCAAACAGAAGAGACGGCAAAAATCAGAGCCGAACCGCAAGATATCACAGATTTTCATTATGAAGCATTTAAGCCAGTCCAAAGACCCAAAGGCTCACTCCACAAAACCAACCCATCACCCACCACCCACCACCCACTGGTCGAGGTCCCGAGGGTTGACTTCTGCACATCTTTTTTCCCGGCTCCGTTTCGGTTTGTGGTTGTTCGGTTCGACTCGGGCAAATTAAATTAGATGCTTAATATGCAGCGAACGTTTCATTTGTTTTGCGGCTAGAAAATCAACGTGGAAAATTAGGCAAACAAAGCTCTTGCCCGCCGAACGAAATCCGGACGGGATCCACATGGCCGAAGGCGGCGGAAAACCACGGAGCCAGGAGCTTAACCTCTAATGAGGCGCATTACTTTCGGCCACAGATTTGAAATCATTATCCCATCGAAACTAATCCGGCTCATGGGCTCCGGCTTTTCGGCATTTCGGCATTTGTTAATTTTGTGCAAACATCCGAGGCTTCGAGCTCGACCATCTCCCTCGACTGCCCTCCCCATTTTCCGACCCCACTTCGTCCTCCGGATGGGCAAATATTGAAGCAGTGGACACAAGGACATGGACCTTGATTGTTCGTTGGAATTCTGGGTAGAAAACAGGTCTGGATATGTTTGGGATGTTAAGAAAATGACGAGAAGGAAGGAGCAGTCGGTTCTGTAAAAATTGTATTTCCTATAAGAACTGAATTGTGGTAAAAGTGGCACTCACTTGTCCTGGAACTATCTGAAAATCCATTAAGACTATGGGATTCACTTTAATTTTATTTATTGTCATTTAATTTTTGGAGTCCACATCATATTCGTCCATTCTTTGATTTCCCCCATTTATATAGAAAAACTTTTTTCCTTTACAAACACTGAATTCCTCGAATTCCTAGAATTTTATTTAATAGGCCCTTTGCTAGTATGTGGTATTTAAATACTGTAAAAAGCTGCCAACTTGTTATTTGTTGCGCTTTGACATTGTTGTAAAATCAAATATGTATTTTAATTTTTTTCGATATGACTTTTTCAATCTATGACTCGGCTTTCAAGAGCTTTTCGATATGGTATCTCTAAAAAGTGCTGCAGCGGAAATAAATCTTCCATTTTAAATTCCTGGATCTCTGCCTTGAATCCTTCTTTTTCGATTTGGCACGCATCAAGTCAAGTTGTGTTAAAAAGTTACAGAAAATTAATCCCTATATATTTAATTAATCCGTCTGCGGATCGTTAGCAAACAGCCATGGTAAGAAAGCCAATATCCTGGGCTACCAAATATTTGTGATATTTCGAATCGGAAAAGCAGTAACATATACAAAGCCAAATAGAAAAAATTCTGCGAAAATTAGGAATAATAATTAAAAACCATGCGCATGGGCAGCCGAATTGGGTAAGTGTTTATATACAAGTTGAAAATGCTTGCGAAATCTTATATAGAGAAACAATAATTTAGCAACAAAAGCCAAATTATGCGGGAGCAGTTTTATATTCTTCTCTAAAAACCAAACGCATGTGAAAAGGGTAGCGATGATAAACAGCGCATGCGCGCGGGATTTTCTACTCATAGCTTAATGCGCAGAAATAAGAGAGGGAAGCTAGTAAGATTGCAAAATGTGATAAAATTACTAGCGCACGCGCGTGTAGTTGTATAGACATAATAAAATATGTACATAGGTTAAAACGATTCCTCTTTAGGCTTAGTTTAAAGTGCAAAAGGAAATCAAATATTTTGTCAATTATGAGTTATATAGACTAATAAAATAAGATGAAAGGATTTCTTTTTATTCATAGTTTGAAGTGAAAAATATTTCATTTATGAGTTGTATTTTTATATTATAAGTTAAAAGGATTCCTTTTTATTCTTGGTGCAAAAGAAAATCAAATATTTTGTCAATTACGACAAAGTGAAACCAAAAAAAAAAATGGCGTACGTGTAGAACAAAGAAAAAAATGGCGCACGGTTTTGCAGACAGAAAAAAAAGAAAAGAAAGAAAGTGCCAGTACGCACTTAAAGCATCAATAGAGTAAATAAAATAAACGAAATATTTTATTTTATTCTTAATTCGAAAAATAAAGAACAAACAGTATCAAAAAACTGAGCAAATGACCCGCCTTGTGCACTCTCTTTCCGCCATTTAACATCAGCCAGAATTTTGATTGATAATATTTTCCGAAATATTCCGCCGAGTCCCCAAAATGCGGAGTTGCAAGTCGCCGCTGCAGACCACAAATTGAAATTGGTCCTAGACGCGCGGTCCGAAAATTTGCGGCGACGATGGCGACCGGCGTCTGCTGGCGCTCAAAATCGAAATCAGATTCTGAATCAGATTCCGACTTTGAATCCCCGAGTCTGGCTGGGATGCGATGCGATGGGTTGGGATGGAATGGAATAGGATAGGATGGTTTGGGGATGGGACATTTGTATGCAAATTCAGTGATTGCCCTCCGCAGAAACCACAGGCAAGACGGTAGGAGCGACCACACAATAAATGGGCATAAATTACACGACCTGAAGGAGGAGCCACCACCACCACCACCACAAGACAGTTGGGTTCACTTTCAGGGGAGCAGGGGGCCTCTAAAAATTGATCATTTCTGGCCGGGATGTGCATGTGGACTGCGGATGATGGAGAGCTGGCTTGCTGGCGCCATTGGAGTGCGGCGTTGCCACTTGAATTTTTGATTTAACAAATGCTCATTTGTAAACCGAGGCCCCAACGAGCCGAGCAGAGCTCCTTCTCAAATTCAAATGGGCCCAGCAGCACACGGCAGAGCGCAGACAGACAGGCCGAATCCAACAAATGGTCGATGGGGCAGCGGGTCTCAGTTCGCAGCCAAACTTTTGCCCAACTGCCTGGCAACAATAATAATGTCACGTTTATCGTGTGCAGCTAATTACTAACAAAAAGATAGTTTGTAATCCCACACAGCTGCGGGGCAGAGAGCGGATAACTTGGCCAGAAGAGTTAGCCAAGCGTGGCCGAGAGTGCCTCGAGGACACAAATGGGAGCGGGGAGATCTGGGGATGGAACAACAGACACCGTCAACCGACCACCGACCACCGGTAGCCCGAGTTCTCCATTCTGTATTTTTGGGGAAGCAAACTTTGGCAGCAAAGCAAAGCAAAAGCAAGTAGCCAAGTCAAGCCAGCGAAACTTGGCCATAACATGTGCTGCAATTCCTGGGACGAGAGAGGTTTCGGGCATAAGCACACACCTGCCCGAAAAACCCAAGACCCAAAACTAACCGAAAAGCAAACAAACCCCGAGCGCCAAACAGCTGCTCCAACTTTCAGCCACTTCTCTGGGGGATCAACATCTTATGGAGCTTTTGTAAACAGTAAATTTATTTGTATAAATATAGTACAGTATAAATTATTATTTGATGAGGTGTGATCTGTATGGTCGCACACCAAAATGTACAAAGTCAATTGTCTGGGTTAGTAAAAAATCAATCAAAAACGCCTGAAAAACTGCTCGAAAACATTCCTTAAATTTTGTTTATCTAATCGTTATTTTTTTTTTTTTTTTTGGCTAAATAAAGCCGAGCCAGCTTTGAGCAAACATTTCAACATTTCTTGTGCCACTTTTAACAATGTGCAAAAAACTCCTTTTCTCCAATTCTCCCAACATCACGGAAGATTCCTAGACGCACTCGGATATAGAATCGTATGTATAGCTTATTGTATAAGTTTAATTGACACCGACGTCTGACAAACAAACAAAACCGAACAACATATAATTATGGGGCTTTCCTGGCTTCTCCTACGTATTATCTCTTCACTTTATATATAATTTAATCGAATTAATTAAAGCTCAACAAGTCTGCCTAACACCAGAACAACTATTCAAATCGAAAGAAATGTAAAAACTCACCGAGAAAGTAACGTTTTAACCAGCACTTTTTCCGATGCTTCTATAACAGGAAACCAAGTCTTGTTGTTTAATTTTGAATTATGGTAAAGCCTTTTTCGGGTTATGAACTAATTTTCGCATCCCGGCGGCCTTAAAAAGTATCTTCTCAGTGATTGCCTGTGGTTGTTGTTAACCACTGGCCTTTAGTCACTCATATTCGCTCGATTCCCTTAAGCACTAAATCGAATAATATCGCACTGAGACTCTCGAGTTAAACTAGAGATGAACGAAGAGGGGGAGCAGCCTTGCGTGTGACACAGCCAGCTGGCAGATGATCTCGGTCGGGAGCCCAGCTCCGCAGGGATCCCTACTGCCCGTCCGTGGGTATTCCGGTGCCGGTGACTGCGGTGGTCACGCCGCCGAACGAAAGGAGATCCGCCTGGTCGGGCTTGTCGCGCGTGGCGTGGTAGGCCTCGCGCTCCCGGTCCGGGAACTTGGTGGGCAGGTTCGGCGAGTGCAGATTGACCTTGGCCTCGAACCGCACGCCCGCCACCTCCACCTCGTAGTGGCCGGAGAGGACGTACTCGTTGGTCACCGGCAGCTCGCTCCCGTTCGCGTCGAAGTTGCGCACGAAGCCCAGGCAGACCTGCTTCTCGAACGTGTAGCCGTAGCCGGTGGTGGTGGTCATGCCCACGTAGACGCCGTCGCGGTAGATGGGCTCGCCGCCCCAGCACCACATGTCCACCTCGTGGTCGTGGTCGTTCAGCAGCAGCTGCACATACATCCGCTTGACGCCCTCCTCGCGTTGCTTCAGCAGCGCATCGCGGCCAATGAAGTCGATGGGTTTCTGGTGGGTTAAGGTTGTTATTCAATGGCATTTCCGCATTAATACTTCGATGGGATACCCACGTTCAGCTTGACGCGCCAACTGCGTCCGCACTCCAGCGGCGTGGTGAAGGTGTCCAGATCCTGGCCCCAGAACGCGTAGAACTTCTCGATGCGCAGAGCTCGCGTGGCGTAGTAGCCTAAGTTGGAATGGCATTTCCTTACAGAATTGAGCAAGGGATTGGATTTTTGCGCAGCTCACCTGCGTGCTGGATGTTGAACTTCTGGCCCGCTTGGTACAGTCGCGAGTACACATGCAGGGCGTATTCGTTGGGGATGTAGAGCACATAGCCCAGTTCGCCCGTGTGGGTGATGTTCAGCACTCGGATGCCGTCGGCCAAGCCGACGTCCAGTTCCTGCAAAAAACAAATTACTCATCGGTCATTGAGAATAACATTTAGCACTTGGAGGACTTCACCTTGTACGTGAAGAAGGGGAAGCTCTTGGGCGTGAGATCCGTGTCGGTGAGCTCGGAGAGCAGGATGCGCGAGTAGGGACCCAGGATGCAGATGGCCGTGTACATGGAGGTCACATCCGCCACGTTCACCTTGGCCCTCAGGTGGTCCGGCATGTGCTTGCGTATCCAGCACATGGAGCGGGTCTGCTGGATGGTGGGTGCAATCATCATGTAGCTAAGCGAGACTATTCGTTAAACACTGTGTTGAATGGGATGTAATCACTGGTCTGCCTTACTGTTTCTCGGAGAGCCTCGCCAGGGAGCAGTCGTTCTCGTAGCCACCGTTGGGGTTCTGCATGCCCGTGTGGATGATGGAGCCCACCGCCACGTCCACGTCGTTGGAGCAGAGGTACTGCAGCAGCTCGACCACCTCGTTGCCCTTCGACCAGAAGTCGTACTTGGTGAAGGAGCTGTAGTCGGCGATGCCGATGCGCTCCCTGCACGCCCGATACTCGGAGGCCACGTGGTCGAACCACGGCGGCTTGCCAAAGGTCCGCGTTTGGGCGATCCTGAATCGCGGCAGCCCAAACTCATCTGAAGAGCAGAAAAGAACCATTATAGTAACCAGCATTCAATTACTTAAAAATATAAATATAAAATATACCTATAACAAATATTATTTACCCATCATTGTTGCAATGATATTATAATCGGGGCCACTAAACTGTGTGCTTTCCAATCTAGTTTGGGAGCTTTGGTTATAACATCAATGTAACAATTGACTACAAATTAACAAATCAATTTATATGTGGATATTCACAGCCACTATTTGTCATATAATTGTTACCAGGATAAGGGTTCCGTTTGGTACAACTGTGTGCTTTCCCAGTTGTACTTTATGCAACCCTAATCTACGCTAACCGCTATAACAATAATACTTAGTAAATCTGAACGGATCGGTACCTTGTTTGTCCTGCTGGTCGAAGTAGTTGGGTCGTTCGTAGCCCATCGACTGGCCGAAGACGGCGCCCGCCTCCTTGAGCTGCGGATAGATGGGCGACATGCGCAGGTTCCTGCCCGTTTGGAACTCCTCGAAGGGATAGTTGATCTCGAAGTGCTTGCCCGGCGCCTCCTTGCACCTGTCCCGCAGGAACTTGCGGTTGTTGTGCAGCCCCAGGAACCGACTGATGTCCAGGATGTGCAGATCCAAGAAGGTGGAGCCCTTCGTTATCAGATCGGTGAGGACGCGACCAATGCCCCCGGATGCGGACACACCCATCGTCTTGTTGCCAGCAGCCACATAATAGTTCTGGATCTCTGGCGCTTCTCCGAGGATCCACTTGCAGTCGGGGGAGAAGACCTGCAGCGAGTTGGTCAACCGGTCCAGCGTGGCCCCCCTGAAGGACGGAACTCTGAGCAGCAGGGCATCGAGCAGCTCGTGGAAGTGATCCCAGTCCGGCGGATGTTGGCGCGCTGTCTGCGAAAGGGGAATCACACCATCCTCGTACACCATCTTGGCCTCGCGTTCGAAGCCGCCGGCGAGGATGTGGCCCTCGCACTCGCGGAAGAAGATCCTTCCGTCGAAGTCCCGCACGAAGGGCGTATCCGGACTGAGTCCCGCGATGGGCTTCGTGTGCAGATAGTGGTGCTCCACGGCTTTGAGCGGCACCTTGACCACCGGCTTGGACAGAGTGCCCACCTCGCGTGCCCAAAAGCCCGTGCAGTTCACAAAGTACTCGCACTCCACATCGCCGGCAGTGGTCTCCACGCTCCTCACCTTCCCGTGCTCGCTGTGGATCTTCTTTATGGCGCAATGCTCGACGATGCGGACGCCTAGTCGCTCCGCCTCGGACATGTAGGCCTGGCACACCAGCTGGGGATCGCACACGCCATCCTCGGGGATCCACAGGCCACCTTCTATGCCGTCGAGCGAGAGCAGCTCGCAGTGCTGGGCGCACTGCTCCGGCGAGAGGATTTCGCAGTGCATGCCCCAAGCGAGAGCCTGCGACTTCATGCGATTGAAGGCGGTCATGCGGTCCCAACTCCGGGCGAGATTCAGACTGCCCACCGGCCGCCAACCGGTGGGCAAGCCGCTCTCCGCCAGCCGCTTGATCAGATCGATGGAGTACTCAGCGAGTTTGAGCTCCGTGTAGCTGGGCTCGAATCGCCCAGCCAGCCCACAGGCGGTCCAGGGCAGCTCGCCGCTTACGCGGTCCTGTTCCACGAGCAGTGTTTCCCCGCCCCAGCCACTCAGACCTAGGTGGTAGGCCACAGAGGCTCCGGTGATGCCGCCGCCGCAGATTACCACTCGCGACTTGCTGGGCAGCTGGACGGCCAGCTCCTCACTGAGATCCGCCGCCTTTTGGGGCTGAAACTTTCTTTTCCTCAGCACTTGCTCATCCGCCGGATCCACTTGTCCACTAGCCAGACGCACTGCATCCGGGAAGGCGGCTGGATACCTCCTTTGAGCTCGCGAAACTGCATTTCGCGAGCCTTGCAGCAGTTTCCACATCTTATCCAGCGGCCAGTTTCACCATGAACATCCGTATGTATCGCAACCTGTGTGTACCACAACCTTACAAAGTAATCCTCCTGCTCTCCAGGTCACCAGAATCGCGGAGCTGTATATTATATGTTGGTAAATCGGTTCTTCAGCACAATAACAAAAAAAAATATTAACCGAATTAGAGATGGCAAAGCTAATCGATTTTCGATTTTCGATGATAACCACACTGCAAAGTCCGAGATATCGGGAACGATTAGCGGTGGCACAAACCCAGGCGCCAAATTAAAAATTCTTTGAATCAAACGGTAAACACCTAAAAACTTATGTTTTATGCAGCCAAAAAAAATTTTTGATCTGGTTTAATCTGCAATAATGCTTTTGGGCACGCTGTAACAAGGTTTTTAATTCATCTAAGTCTTTGTACGGTGTGCCCTGTAACCATTACTGACAACACGCTGCTTATTTCATAAAACAGTGTTAATCTGAAAGTTAAAACTAAAGTTCAAACATATTGAGTCAACAAGTCAAAAAACAACAATGCACAATCATGCTAGGTACTCCTTAGTCAAAATATTATTATTCATTACAATATTGGACTCTGGGGTACCTATCATTATTGTGTAATTTCTCTGCAGTGTATTTAAAACATTTAATAAATCATGTCTTGCAGGCAACTTTCAATGCATTGTTATTATGTTTGCATCAATGCATTGGCATTTGCTTGCAATATAAGATTGGTTTTACAAAGAATAAATTTATTTATTTAAAAACAAGGGTTGGCAATTACTTATAATCAAATCCAAAAACTATCACTGAATAAAAAAAATTAATCGTGATTTTGAAAGCGCTGCTGACTGATTTTTGTTTAAAACAAATCTGTCGGTAACGGTTTCAGAAATAAGATTAAATGGGCACTAAAAAAGTGTGTAATTTAAAATTCAATATTTAAACATTAAGTTTTTCGTTTCTTTAGGTTGATTCCTATTCGACTGTATCATAGGCATCAATCCGTTTAGTATTGACTTTTTTAAAAGATTGTGTGTGCTCCTGTAAGAGTTACTATCCAACATTAAATCGTTATTATTTACAAACTAAAGTAATCGCTCGTGCTGGTCTAATCACCATTGCTGGTAGGCTTTTGTTTTAAACAAAATTATCGGTGATGGTGTTTGGATTACGATGAGACTTTTGCATCAGATGGGTTACTCAAAAATGGTGTGATTTAAAATATAAATATGAAAAATTGAACAAATCATGTCTTCAAGTCTATTCTCTTTGGATTGATTTTTTATGCATTTATCCATTGATAATTGACTTGACTACAAGATTGTTTTTGCTTCTGAAATAAAAAGTATTTTAAAGTTTTTGGAAAAGTGTTCGATTGATTGCTATCAATAAATCAAACATATAAAAAACACAAGTGGCAGTTTTCATTTGAAGATTTATTTCCAATAACCACCAAAACACCCAGTAACTTCTTAGTTTATATATCTTTTGTTTTTGTTTTTACTTTACAACTTCCGTCCGCAACCCACATAATTTTCGTGTTTTCTGTTTTTATTAACTTAGGCTTAGGCTTCTCTGCTCCTTCCACTTCATCAACAAACACATTCAGACCGAAATCATAGCAATCGAGAGTAGAAGTCCTTTCGATCGTATCTGTGGATATTGAGTACACAATGCATAGGGTGAAAAGCTGCTCTAACATTTATGTTTATGTTGGTATCCGTATCTCTCTTCAATGTCGGAATGGAAAAAGTTACCCTTTTCCTAACACTTGGTAGGATCTAAACTACATTTTTCAGGGGCCGAATTGACGACGTGCTTTTTGGAGCAGGAATTCAATTATAGCATATCTCCCTTGGACGCAGTGATATAAGGCTTAAAGTTAATCCATAAAGTTTTTGTCCTTACAAAGGAAGTTTAGGGCTGGCCACAAGCAATGGCTCACAAATTATAGTTAGTGTATGGTAGGTAAAATCAAGGCAAGGAAGAAACGAACAGTGGACATCTGTAGAATCGCTTTGGAATAAAATTTATTGCAAATGAAGTTACTGTCTCGCCAATCGTGATCATAATCGTAATAAGGATAATAATGGTAATCATAAGCATAATAGTTAATATGTAGTTTATAGTATATAATCATAAGTTCATACGCAGCATTTTATATAAGTTAAATTCATCGACAATTTCGACCGCTTTAAACTATAGATATAACAATTATGTTTTCGTAATCATATTTATACAGAAGCCACTCTTGTTCTGCTGACAAACATAATCAATACATGTAGATAGTAGATACATTTACGAGTTGTCTCGCTACGGACTACCTTTATTCATAATCTGCGGTTTTTCTCTTGCAGAAGTAGAAACTAGATCGTTCATATCCTGTAACAATTCGCTCTAGCGCTTCATAAACTACAACTTATTTAGATCTGATAAAAAAAATTAACACAAAATCAAAAAAAAATTGACACATTTATCTAAGTGTAGACCAAGCCAGGCAATCAATTGGTGGGGTAGTAATTTTTTAAATTGACCTTTAATGCTGTCTGGTAATATAATGACCATTTTTAAGTGCTCACTAAAATGATATTCTTTTTATCGGCTTATAAACAAACGAGGTTCAAAAATTTTTAAATTTATATTTTACTGTATAGGCGCCAATTAATTTTACAAAAAGCTTTGTTATTGTTCAGTAAAAGGTGTTATAAGACTGCAAAGAGGCGCCATCGATTTTACACAATCAAAACTCAAAGTTTGGAACGTTTTTGACCTCGCCAATATTGCCTGGACCTGATGAGTGGTTTTTGGGTTGTGGGTGTGCCAGAATTGGGACCTTTTTGACTAAGAGGCTAGGCCTCTATTTAATGTATACATTATACATGCGAATAAATAAATTAGTTTCGATTTCAGTTAGACAATGCTTACTTCTCTTCCTTCTCCTTTTTTTTTTTTTGGTTAACATTGGGATTGGCACATTATATTACATATCATACAAAGCTTCGCATTCGATTTTCTCCTTCAACTTTCGATCTTCAACTCGTGCCCTTAAAAAAAAAAAACAAAAAAACAGTAAGGCGAAAGTATTCGGGGTAAAAACTGTTTGGATTCGCTTTTCCTCGCTTTCTTGTAATAAAATGTAACCGCTTATCACATTCATAAAACTTGATCAATTCTCTAAATACATAGTCGTAGGCGTAGGTTTAATATAGTACATAATTTAGTACAATTACCTTGTATGAGTTAACTAAATGGTTTCGTTTCGTTAATAGCACAGTGTAAACGCTTCTTCTTCTTCTTCCATCTTTAGGGCACATATTCAAGTTTAAATTTAATTAAAGGGAAATTATATTTGTGTATGGAATTTCCACTTCCCCATTGCCTTTTGCATTTTTCGTTTAATTTAATAGATTTTTGGTTTTTACTTAATTAGTTTTTTTCAACATTTTTTGTTGGTTTTTTTGCAACAACTTCAATACATGCAAACAGCAAATTTCGAGTGCAACAAAAACGGTCTTGACAGAATCTATCTTAAGTTCTTGTTTGTTAACCTTACTTTGGTATATATTCACTAGATCTCTATGTATGTTTTCGTGTTTTGTTTTTGTTTTGTGTATACATGTATATATTTTTGGCTACTTTTTCTGTTTGTAAAATTCGCAAAAATCTTTATCTCGTTTGGTTTAAATTGAAAATTAGATTAGATTAAACTAAAACAAAGTGGATTGAAACTCACATTTTATGGAAAACAAAAACCATTTTTTGTTGTGGTATTCTCAGCAAAAATAACTTGTTTTTCTGTGTTGTGTGTGAGTTGTATATATATCTGCCGGTAGGGGTGTTTCATTGTTTGAATTACACATTTAATACTTAGGTTTTATAACATTTACTTTAAAAACTATTTGCTTTACTTTTTGTTCATGACTATGAATGCTGTTATCGGGTTTCACATACTTCTCGAGCAGTTGAGAGTTTATTGCAAAATAAATGCCAGTGAAAAAAAATCCTAATACATTTATATTTCTCGAAATATATATTTCGATCTGTTTTACGGGGGTTAGTTGTGGGCTTTTTCGCTTTTGCTTTACGGTAAATGGTTTCTCGACTTACTGATTAGGTAGTTTGGCTAAGCTATTAGGTGGAGAATCGGAAACTCATGTAAGTAGTTCACTTGAAACGTACGATTACTTTTGGGTCAGGGATGTGGTTGGTGTTATGTATTATATATGCGTGGGTACAGTGCGTTTCACCGCTAAAAGAACTACGAGGTATTCCTTATGGCCCTGAAACGCCATGTACATACATATGTGGCCTAAACATATCGGTGTACCGTTGTTGTTGTGTTGTTAGCACAAAAATACCCTTAAAGATGTTTCGTAATCTTTTTTTAGTTAGTGTTTCTTCTTGTTTTTCAAAATAAATTACAATGGATTCGAGAGGGGCTGTTCCCCACAAAACACACATCTTAGTGTCTGACCTTCTCGTAAACTTTTCAACCGCGTTTTTTCTTCCTCACCAGAATCTTAAATAAATATAAAGCACAAAGTGTTGACTTTCCAGTTTTGAATTCTAGTTGATAAATATTATGCCTATGTTTTCTGGAAAAAAACATACATGTAAATGTTTAAGTAAAGTTATTCCATTTACGATGTGGGCGAGTGTGTGTGTGTGTTTCAGATGAGTGTGTAAAATACAATATATAAAGAAGTTTATATGTTAGAATCTTTATCTCGATCAGCATTCTTTCCTTTCTTGGTTTAGTAGTGTTTTTTGAAATTTCTTTTTAAGTATCGCGGTGCTCCCAGTTTTGACCTTTGACCTGGAGATCTTAGGCGTAAAACTCCGTCTTCCCTTGCGTCTTATAGGCCTCCTCCTCGATTTTGTACATGTCCATAAGCTTTTTTATAAGCAGCAGTTGGTTTTTGGATGACGGGCGGCAGCGTGTAAGATCAGCAAATACAAAAAATTTTGCAAAGGTAAACAAATTGTGTGGATTTTTTGTGGTTGAAATGGCACAGAAAGAGATAGAGCATGGGCATGTGTACGTGTGTTGGAAAAAGATAGAGAGAGAGGGCGAGAAAGAGAAAGAAAGAGCGAGAGAAAATAAATAGTTTTTCGTTTAGTTTTTCTCTGTTATTGGCATTTATGGTTTAGGGCGACACAGCAAACGATAATTGACAAGGCGTTTAGGGGCGTGGCAGGTTGGGTTTTAGACAGAGACAGTTGTAGAGAGTGAAAGAGAGAGATTTATATATATATATATATTTTATATATGAATATATATATCTATAAAGTAGTTCGATAGTACAGCTGCGAGCTTGGGATCTAGGGAGCTATGGGAATCGAGCTAAGAACTTAACATTTATAACACATATATGTACATTTGGTGGGGAAGGGGTAGACATTGGGAGTCAGAAGGTTAACGGATAAAGTGAGTTCGATTCAGAGCACACATAAAAATATGGTGTTTAACGCTCAGGAAGCATTTAAAACATAAACAATTAAAGCCAACTGAGAAATTGAATGAAAGTCAATGTGGAAGCCATTCCACATGGAATGCATCGGGCCAATCAAGGAGAACTGGAAATTAGTTGTAGAACTACAAGAAAAACCTATAAATTCATAAATATTATTCGTTTGGCAATATTTCTTTTAGGAACTATTTTGAAAGTATTTTGTGTTTCATCTTTCCAAAAAAAAAAGAATAAATTTCACCCGCAAATTCCACATTGATGTTCACACAGAAGAACGCAAAGCAAAATGATGAAGGAGCCACTTCAAAACAAATTCCGATCTTTCGTTAGATCGCAGAACATTGCTCGAAACCATAGGGAAATTAGTCGAAGACAAGGTCCACGATGAATGAACAAAATGCACCAATAAATATATAATACATATCATAGGAAATAGTAGATAATTACATCTTAGCAGTTAGTGTGAAAGATTAGCAGCTACTGACTGATCGATTACTTTTCAGGTTAGTACGGATGGGTTCGGTTAGGTTGGGCTTTTTTGTTCGTGATCGTTTAATGTTTATCGATTATCGGTTATCGTTTATTGGAAGATGCATCCCCAGGCGATACTCTCACTCTCAATCTCTCTCTTTTACTCTCGATCGACAAGAAGGGATAACACTGCAACAACATTCGTATCTGGGATGTATTTCTTCACGTTGGTTTCGGTTTGTTTGGTTTTAATTTCGGTTATCTTTTTGTTTGTTTTATTATATCGGTTTCAGTTATCGGTTGTATCGTTTATCGTTTACGGTTTATCGCTCTCTAGCTATACAGGTGTGGTTGTCTAAAGTACAGTCTCAATACTGGTTATAGTGTCGGTCTGCGGCCGAGTTTCGTTCAGTACCTTTTGCACGTCGGTACTGAATTCCTCGACCTGCTTCGAATGCGCTAGCTTGAGTTTCTCCATGGCGCGTCCCTGCTTAACGCCGATTTGCTGTAAATATATATGATGAGTATATATTATGAGTGTAATATGAAGGTTCGGCACTACGCAGGACCCACCTTCTTTTCCTCCATGAAGCGCTTGACGTTGTTCTGACGCTTCTCGCGCAAGCGACGGTCCTTCTCGTTCTTTGTCTTTAGAGTCTTGTCATTCTGGACCTCTTTAGCAGTGTCAGCCGACATCTTTGCCTGCTTGGCATTCAGATCCTTGATGTCCCTATGGAAGAGTATAAAACACAAGCGTTTAAAAAGGTTGGTATTTTCAGGTTAATTTTTTTAACATTTTACCTGGCATGCCGATCTTCGAGCTGCTTGATCTGCGCCGCTTGGACCGTAAGCATGAGTGCCTTCATGGCGTCCTGCGAGTCCTGGACATGCTGGCGCAGCATGTCCCACTCCTCCTTGCGGTGGCGGGCGATCATGTCGGTCCACTGCTTGGTCTGGTCGTTGATCGAGTTCTTTATGTTGGCATCGTTGCGAATGTCATCTTTGCTCTTGCCCTTGATCAGTTTGTCGATGGCCGCATTCTGGGTCTTCTGCACCGAGGTGCGCTCCTTGGCGTGCTTCTTGCGCAGGGTGTCCAGCTCCTTGATCTGCTTCTTGCCCACCTTCTGGAAGCCCTTCTCCTGCCGCAGCGACTCGAGCGTCACCGGCTCGAAGACGAGCGGTGGCTCCTTCTTCTCCTCCTCCTTGGCCTTGCCGGCATCGCGGGCGGCACCGCCGCTCTGCTCCTCGATGCCTAGGGCCTTCATCTGTTCGTTTTGCTGCTTGGCTGCGCCGGCGAAGCCGCGCGGATCCGACAACATGGCCATAAAGTCCTCGAAGCCGTCAGGTACGTAGATCTTTAGCTCGATATTCACGAACAACATGGGCAGCGACATGGGGAAGTTGGCCTCCGTTCGCAGGGAGACATGGCGATAGCCAGCCTGCAGGCCGTCCAGCGGCAGGATTCGCTGTCCCAGGATCTTTCCGCTCTCCTCATAAACCCCAAATCGCAGCACGGCCAAGTCGGGCAGCACAACTTTGCGGAACACAAACGGATCCTCGTTGTAGACCGGATTCAGCCCGTTGTTGGCCACCAGGCGGGTGCGGAACTCCTTCTTCACCGTGTCCGAGGGCAGGCCAAACATGTCCACCTCCACGTACGTGCCCACTTTCTTGTCCGACAAGAACTGGCCGGCAATCACCTTCACCGAGCACTGGGCCGCAATCACACCGTCCACCGGCGCATCGGCGAACGGATCGAAATCCTTGTCGGCTCGACGCATAAAATCGGGTTTCAACAGATAGCCACACCCACCGTTGTACTCGAACTTGCCCTGGTTGAGTTGCATGGGCAGATCGGAGCTCTGGAAGTTGAGCGAGACCATCTGGCAGCCGGCGTTCCAGAACACCTGCGGCATGTAGTTCGAGGAGTCCGCCCGCGTGCCCTTCGGATAGATGCGGGACATCTGGCGCTTGTTGTAATTGACAAAGTCGATCGAGCTCTGCTTCAAGTAGTTCATTCCAGCCGATTCGGCGAACGAGGACATGTTGTGGGCAATGTTCTTCTCTGTGAAGTAAAGTAAGGGCACGTGTGAGATAAAGAAGTATCTTGTGTTCGCGGATGGCTTACCAATTGCCTTGTCGAAGCCCTGGAACTTGATGGGCTGCGCGTAATTGACCATGGATGAGAGCCACGGGTGCACGTTGGTGGTGGAGCCACTGTAGTTGGCAGCGGCGGCCTCCGCTTCCGCTCCCCCCGCCCCCCTCGGCGGCACCTTCGGCGGCGGCGGCTGCCTCCGGTGCGGGGGCGGGTGCGGCGGCAGCCTCCGGCGGTTTGCCCGCGCTGGCATCCTCCTCCGGATCGTCGTCCGTCTTCAGCTCGCCCTTGAGCCACAGCTCCAGCTCCACCTTCTCCACCTCCGGCTTCATCCGCTTGTTCTTGATGAGGATCTTTTTCTTAAGCTTGCAGGGCGGCGGAAGCGGCAGTCCCGGTTCCAGCTAACCAATAAATAATAAATAATGTTAGTTCAAAAGATACGGCTTTGGAATAAAGTATAGTATCAGTACTAACCGGGTGATCCGAGAGCGGCTCCTTCAGCAACAGATCGCCGAAGAAGTCATCACAGTATTTGGCCAACTTGTACTGCTGGGCGCGATTGCAGTGGTTCTCGAAGGAGAGGATGACAGGATACTCGGACGACACGAAGGCGCAGTCCGCGATTGCCTGGATGCAGTCCTGCAGGGAATACGAAAAATATTATTATTATTTATAGGTAAAAACAAACAACATTTCCTCTCCCCGAGAACTCATTTATTTTATTTTTAGACAATAATTAGTCTTAACTATAATAAATATATGTATATGTAAAGCAGTACTCTTCAAAAAGTTGGTTATTGTTTAGTAACAATGTTATCGAAAACTTTGTTAATCAAACCACCATTACTTTTCGAACTGCAATTAAATTAAATTTTTTGTTTAACTTCTTCGCCACCCACAAAGTTTTAAAACAATGCAACAATATTCCCTTATATATATTTAATACTTTGTACTTTAGATGCACGAAACTGATTTGCTTTGACAATTAAGATTTCAATTAAAAGCATTTTAGTTTTGCAGGAAAACTACTGACTTAGAAGTAAGTTTGTAAGTTTTTCAGCTAGCTGGTTTGCTTTAAATGAACTATTTAAGTTCATAATAATATGGACTCACCTTGAACAGGATTTCAGTGCAGTAGGCGTGGCCGTGGGTGACAATCGGCTCCTCGTCCTCGCCCTTTCCGTTCCAGCAGTCGAGCTCGACACACCGACATCCGGCCAAGAGGGTCTGGCGGTACATCTCCACGGAGCTCTTGCCGCCGATCTGACGGCCGGAGAGGTACGTGTTATGCGAGCTGTTTATATAGTAGTGGGCCAGCGGCTGGTCCATCTCCATGTAGAAGTCCAGTCGGTCCAGGAACACCGGCGCATTCTCGTCGGACATCAAGTAGCGCTTGAAGCCGTCCAGCGAGAGTTGCACTGAGCGAAGGGAGAAGCGAATAAATTTATTGTTTTTAAATCGAAAATTCATTAATCTGTGGAGCTTCCTTCAGAGCTCATATCAAATTGCACAGCTTTTTTTTATTGCTTCCCCTCTGTTTTTATTCTAATTAGAAGAGATTTTAAGCTCATAACTATATAAAGTTCGTAATTAATAACCAACCCTGTCTAATTGGTATTTCTGGATGTTTTGTATATCAATTTCATTGCAGCCAACTTTTTATTAATTCACTTGTGTAATGAATGCCTTGACCTGGACCTTGACCTTCGCCAAATAAATATTAAAATAATTTCCACAGGCAATATACTATATATGTATTTATAGTATTGTTTTCTAGGGGTGCCTACCGTTTTTCTTCTTTTCCTCCTCGAGCTCGTAGTCGTTGATAATCTCCGTGCAGCGCTTTTCCTCGTAGAGGGGATACAGGATCTCGTTCATCCGAGGGTCGCGCTGCTTCTCGTTCATAAACTGGATAAATTGCTCCAGACTGATAAAGTCCTGCTTGCCCTTGGTGCTAAATAGTTAATCGAAAAAACATTTATGTAGTTAACTGGGCAATAATAACAACACAATTGTTGTGTAACTCCACTTACATGGAGGTGAAGAGCTCCTCGATGTCGTTTCGAGGACAGACCTTGTGGTACAGAGCATAGAACTTGTCGAAGGTGAACTGCTCCTTGGTCATCGTGGCGTTCTTGTCATCCGGCAGACCTGCGTCCTTGATGCAGGTGTACACCAGCTTCTCCGTTTTGCCGGAGGCGAAGGTCTTGGCCAGCGTTTTCACCGGAATTTTTCCGCTCTTCTCCACACAGTAACTCAGTCGCATCCAACTATTTTTGGATTACACAAGCGGAGGAGGGTCAGTAATTAAACACTTTTCGGGGAACGATAATGAGGCGTTTCGGGGTGTTGTTTGGCAAGAGCGATTTAAAGTGGAATAATAAACATCGAACAGCAAGAAACACAGTTGCACATACATACCTGGCAAAAGTATTGAACGTATTCAACTTTAAGCAAATAATCAGAGCGTTTATCACATTAGGGGGAAAGTGGAAATGGATTGCAAATAGAAAGCGGTTTATGGAACAAACATAACTCTTCAAAACTACAGGATTTTTGTACTTAAATATAATAAAAAAACAAATGCTCATTATTCGTTCGCAAAGGAGCAGAAGTTATTCGCTTTGAAGTTGCCTTCTGTGAACTTGATTAGAAATCCACTTCATCCACCTTAATTGAAATTCAAATTTTCCGTTAGGAACACGAAATTGCCCTGAAATTGACTTGAAACTGTGCCAAAGGGCCAGCAATTGAACCACACCACTTCACGATCTCCTTAACTACTATATATTGAACTAAGCTGACCGGTTGTCGAATCAAATATTGATTAGCAATCAATTCCAGGCAATCCATTACGCAGATGATTAACGACTTGTTCCGAAAACGGAAAACGGAACTCATAACTAAGTGAATCGAGTCGAGCGCCACTCGCACTTGTGTCCAATTTGCATGGATCCGTATCCCCGTATCCGTGGGACATATCCCATCCTTCGGCTTTTTTGGGTCTGTTTTGGGTCAAGTAATTGCAACCCCGTGTATCCGTATGCGCCGAATGACGCATGAATAATGCAATCAGAAACAAATTGCAAACTAGGACAACTAATTTACAATACAAACATGCAACTGCTACCCTTGCCACGCCCACTCACGTTCCCCCACAGCGCTAGCCGCCTTCCATTTGGCCAAGGTGTTGGCTTCGCCGGTGGTTAACATGGTTGTTCGCCGAATGCACTTGGCAAACTTTTCACCACATAGCCAAAGAGCACAGCTGAGCATTCGGGTCACATATAAAAAATAAGATTCAAACATTTGTTTGAAACAAAAAACTTAAATTCCCCAATTGATAACACTTGTTTTTCCTGCTTTTGAAGCTGTTCATCGTTCCCCCAAATTAAATAAAAGTGCCTGGTTTTATATTAACTTTTTGTATGCACTTCAGCAGTGAATTGTTTTTGAGTGTACGCTATGCAGGTGTATGATCCCGGATGCAATACATCACCCATAAACACACCCTTCTAACCCCACCGAAACACGCTCGAACGGTCAGAGTGCTCCACCGCAAGGCAACGCATATCCAATGAACCGCAGTTCAGTTCAGTTGCCGCCTTTCATCTGCCCCACGGACATCGACCACTGGCCATTGAATGCATCCGTTTCACTTGTCTTTGGGAGAAGGGGAACCGAGAAAACTTTGGCCGGTTTAACCCAATTTCGGATGACGAGACTGGAATTTTCAGAGCAGCCCCCATACTCATTCCATTCAGCAAACACTTTAGCAATGAAAAACGAAGCTCGCAACTTCAACAAATTTCGCTAAAATGTGGCGAAAGACAAAAAGGCTTTCAAGCCTTTAAGCAAGCAATTTAAGGAATTTTTAATTAATCTATATATTTAAACCTATTGATCTCAGACAAACAAATCTTTTAATGAGAATTTAAAGGTGGAAGACATATTTTTACTTCACATTTTCCCGGATGAAGTGCACAAAGGTTGCTTTAATGTTATGGCAATAAGTGCAATTTTCTTATTTTTGAAAATGTGCTTCGCATTAAATATGTAAGGGCTCTGACCAAACACACCCACTACCACTACCACTACCACTGCTGTTTCAGTGGGAAAAGAAACAGCAGCCCAACCCAGCTGAAATTGTCCCCTTTTCCTTTCGTTGCCCATTTTGTGTGCGACAGGAAATGCAAATAAAATGAATTTTTTTTTTTTTTTTGTGCTAAAAGTGAACCGAAACCATGAACGCCAGGGAACAGGGAAAACAACAACAAGAACTACGGGTTTGGGCGTTATAGAAAGTCAAGTCCCTTGGTCACGGATCGAATTGCAGCTGGCTTCCAGATGACAGAGTTGAAATTTCGGAATTGCGTAATCAGCAATCAGGAAATTAATAACGACAGAACGCGAGTAATTGACCCGAAAAGTCCAGCAGTCGATGGAAGGTGGGGAAAGCAGTTTACCGGATAAAATTTCAGGTTTCGTTCTACTGTAGCGATGGGGATTCTAATTAGTCAGTCAGTTTAATTGTTCAGTCAGTTCAACCACTCTACGGTTTTAAATTCTGAAGGAAGCCATCGAAACTATTAAGGCAGTGGTCTGCTTTAGGAGCCGAAAAAAGAGCGTTTTTTCAACAATTTTTTTGAAAGGGAAGGAAATGATTGCGGTAAACGAAATTTTGAGACGATATAATATTATATTTAAACTTTAAAAAACAATTTTTATTATTGCAAATAATTGAAATTAGCGGAAGTTGTAACGATTTTTCTGGGGCGCCTGGAGTGTGCACTTGTTAATCGGTGCCGGTGATGGAGTTCGCGCGATGCATCTGAATCAGTGGAACCAAATTTTTTTTACTTTTTATAAGTTCCTTTTCTATATGAACTAAAAAATTCCGAAGAAATTACAAATTTCCAAATTTTTTCTAAGTTTGAAAAAATAATTCACTTTTTTGGAAAAAAAAGTTCACTTTAAGTTGCAAAACAAGTAATTTAATTAGTACTTTTATCCAATTTTTTTAGTTCAAATAGAAGATAATTCAATACTGAAGCTAGATCACTTTGGTTTTTTTCGATCGGACATATATTTTTTTTACTAGGGCCGGCACCATTTTCCAAAACTTGTGAAAATAAAAACTCGAGAAAACGGGCTGTAAAGTCTGCCCGAGCATACGAACCTGCTCTACGCTCGGCCACTAAAACTGATCTAGCTTCGAAAATATGTCGAATTGGCCTCTAAAATTTTGAACACATATTCTTGGATAGTTTTGGAATAGATTTAAGACAAAAAAAAAAAATCGATTTTTTGAAGTCTGTAAAGCAGACCACTGCCTTAAGCCAAGTGGCTTAGTTTTAATTTCTCCTTTTAGAGTAGAAAGTCGAAGAGATTAGGTTTTGGGTTTGTGAATGGCATACGTTTACTTACCGATTCAGGATAACCTGGTCTGAATATATTATATTATGACTACATGAAACTAGCTTTACAATTTTTATGATTAATTGTATTATACGATTTTGTAGCTTTGTTAGGCTTATGTTTTAAATTGCAAAAAAATTATGAATTAATTTCTCGCTTAGTATCATTAGGTCATAACCGACTCAAAGAGGAGTTTAATATTTACTTAGTGTGACCTTACTTACTGTTTCATTAGGTTGACGCGCGGGCACACATTCGTGGCGCGATTGTTATGCGTGATGAGACGCAAGTTCTTCTGCCAGCTCTGTGCGAGTGAGACAGTTGAGTGAGTGTGTGTGTGTATATATATATATGTTTATATGCATATGCATAGAGAGAGAAAGAGTAGACAATCGTAAGGGGTAACAACACAGTAACAATAACGAGAAGAAGAAAAAGAACAGCATGCAGAACAGAGAGAAACGGAACAATCGATGCAATTATGTACACAGTGTAATCGAGTGAGGTGCAGCAAGTGGAATTAATGTGGCAAGGCGAAAGGACACGGGACACGGGACATAGGCCATAGGATACAGGACGAAAAGGAAGAGCCGAGGACGTTGCAAAAACGAGAATAAAGACAGAGCAAGTGCGAAGGGTAAGGGATGAGGTGGGTGGGTGATGAGGTAAGTAGTGAACACGCCCACTTACTGTTTCCGCAGACACATCATGGGGCAGATATTGTTCGCTTTGACATTATGGGTTATTTTTCGTATGCCATCTAGCCAGATCTAAAAGAAGAGAGTCGACAGAGAGAGGATAGTGTGTTTTCGCTGAGTGATTTCAGTTTCGGTGAATTTACGTAGCAAGGTGGACCTCTTAAGAGCTTCGACTATCTGTTTGGTAGCTAATTTGATATTTAATTCAATATAAACTTTTTTTTCTTTTTCTTTTTGAAATAAATAAAAAGATCAAAACTTTTGACAAATATTGTTCATGAACAACACTGCGTATGAGAAATATTTCATGAACAACACTGCGTATGAGAAATATTTCATGCACAACACTGCGTATGAGAAATATTGTTCATGACCAACACTGCGTATGAGAAATATTGTTCATGACCAACACTGCGTATGATAAATATTTCATGAACAACACTGCGTATCAGAAATATTTCATTGTCCACACTTGCAGTCATGAAAACAAAGATCATTATAGTTTACTAGTGTGAATTTCGACATATCATAACTAAATAGCCTGGATCACTATATGTGCCCTTGAAGTCCACCGCAGAGTTAATATGTACCTATGTCAACTAGATGGAATGCAGGACTCATTCGCTATAGGGAAATGGAAAACGGGCATTCCTTCTCCTGATTTCCGCTGTTACTAATTTTCCGGCCACTAACTATTCTGTGACTCACCTTGGCTGTTGCCGCATCTGGACAAATAACATGGTGATATGTTATATTGATATAGTCCGTGTTCGAGCAGATCGTCAGGGATCGCTTATCCAGTTCCGGTATGTTGGTGCCATTCTTCTTTGTAACCTTGTCCAGTATCTTCGGATCCTGCAGTAAAGAAATGCAAAAAATATTCATTAGCTCGGAGATTTTCCCGTAAATTTCCAACTACCCCCGAACAATGCGCATACGCCCTGTTGCCGGCTATTTGAGTGCAATTTGGCGCAACGGCATCTCGGCAGTGTTCAGTATCTGAATGAGCATCGCAAAGCATTAATCTCCAGTCGAATCATTAATCAAGGCTGGAGGGGCGCACAAAAGCGTTGTACAGAACATTTATCAACATTTGTGCAGCATTCGCGGATCCAAACAAATATATTTTCATTATATTTTGCTTTCGGCCGTCAGCAACAATTAAAAGCAGTGTTCTTTACCGGCATACCCTCCTGTTCTCTTGCTTTATTTTTGGCTAGCATTTCAGTTTAATTGTTGCCGAGTCCAATTTTTTTTTTTTTTTTTTTTTCTTTATTTATTTATTTAGTGCAGAATCTGTACAGCAAATTAAAGTACTTAACAACACAGGTGTCACCAATGAGAAAAGTAAACCAAACCTCAGCATTAAGAAGAGGATTATATATAGTATTTTCTTATTGATTCCTTATCGTCTTGGCAAAGCCTTGCCTTTTGAGACGCCTCAAAGGTCTCGCTGGGAGTAGATTCCTAGCCAGTAAGCTGCGGTGTCTTTCTAATCTATCTCGGTATCGGCTTGTGTGTCTCCCAATCTGTTCTTCCACAGTGTGTAGATTTAGGTCTCTGTGAAGTGTCGTGCCACGCACATACCAGGGACAGTCAGTAATGGTACGTAGAAACCGATTCTGCAACACTTGTAACCTTTTGTAGTTCGATTTGGCTGCGATCCCCCAAATTTGAATACCATAAAGCCAGATTGGCAGGATACAGAATGCATATACTGCCCTCTTGCATCTCAGCGGCAAAGTGCTCCTTCTGTGTGTAAGCCAACGCAGTTGCTGAATCCTTTGGTTACATTTTTTGACTGTTGCTTTCAGATGTGGTCCGAACGTAAGGCGCTTATCCAGTGTGATACCAAGATATTTTGCTTGCGACGGCTGTTCCAAACTGACTCCCTCTAGCTGGATTTCAGGGGTGTTAGATACAAGTCTCTTCAGTGTAAAGCAGGGGTTCGTAGTTTTTTGCGGATCCAATAAAATGCAATTACGCAACCATCGTAGCGCGAAAAAGTATGCTACAGTTTTTTCCTCTTCCCTAAACGAGACGAAAATGTAATGGAAATGTTGAATTTCCAAGTCGGTTTACTTTCCAACTCGAGTAGGCTAATTTTAGCCAACTAGCTACTTAAGAACTGAAGCTGGATGGAGAAATCTTTACCGTTTCTTTGCCGCCTTAAATGCTGTTTCAAAGTCTTCCATTCAAACGGTGAATTTCTTAAAGGAAATTGAATTATGCAGAGACCCCATTGAGGATTTTTCCTCACCTTCAAAACACTCGAACACACACACAAGTACAATAGCTCAATCAGTTCAAGTGCAATTTGCGAGGAAAGTCGGTGGAAGAAAGCAGCAGACTTTCGAGTGCTAAATAAGTCAGCCTCCCCGGATTTTATCCCCCTGTCGCTCCTTTGAACCAAATAAAGTGAAAGCAAATGTTATAAAAGTTTTGTTCCCTTATTCTTTCTTTCATTTTACATACTTCTCTTTTCGTTTTCGTCTTTTTTGCGCCACTCGCTTTTTGTTACGTTGGCAGAGCTTCGTGCATTATTGAAAAGCGCCAGCAAACTAAAAGCCAGGAAAAGTCGGGGGCAATAACAAAAAACTGCAACCAAGCTCAAATTTTTCGTTTTCAATATTTCTTTTTATCCTCTTCTTTCTTTCCTCGCACTTCTTCTTCTTCGTTTCTCCGACGTTTTTCCTGCGGTTTTCCTCTGCCAAACGAGGCAACTTTTAATGGTTCATTGTGCAAGGCTTTTCGGGACATTCTGTCTCTGTCAGGCTCAATATTCTCGTCTCCTTTGCGCCTTAAAGTCGCACACTCGTCCTCTTTCTCTCTTTCTGTTTCCCAGTTCCACTCTCCTTCGTTTATTTGACTGTGTGTGTCGCACACTGATTTAATATTGATGACCAAACATTTCAAGTGATGGCAGAGCACTAAACGCACACAAACACACACACACACGAAGCACACACAACCAAAAAATATCAGACGCATACACAGACCAAAATACAAGTATGAATATTATTCATTTTAGCTCACAAAAATAAAAATGGACACTTCTATCTTAAAGCAATAATATTTTTTATTTAGAACTGCTAGATAAATTTCCAAGTGTATAAAGAACCTTACACCCTTTAATAATTTTCTGTTGGAAACTTTTTGCATTTCGACTCTTTTGCTTTCACTCAGCTGGCGTTTTCTTCTTGGCCATCGCATTTGCGGTCAACAATTTTGGCACACAATCACTAGCCGATACACACACACACACATACATCTGTGATCATTATGCGAATTTCTTGCAACTTCTGCTCTTTGGTGTTTGTTTTGCATTTTAATTGAATTTTCCCGAGGACAAAAGAGGAGCAGAGAATCAAAGAAAGCCAAAAGACGTTGAGGGTCGTCGGACCGAAGGAAGGGTTGAACAGAAAGAAAACTGGCCAAAAAGTTCCTAGTTCAAGCTCTAAACAAATAAATGCGTACCCAGTACCAATGCCAAACAAAATATAAAATATTTTGCAAAGGGACGAAATAAATTGGACAAGTTTTAGGACCATCACTTTTAAATCCTTTCCTTATGTAAATTCTGTACTTTCCTCGACGACTACCTCCCATAATTTCCTGTCAATGACGTACTTTACTTCTTCCCTTCTCCCTGCCTTTGGGTCAATTTAAGTTCCAATTTATTTCGATATTTTTCAGCTACATTCACTTTGGGGCTGGGCACGCTAACTTAAGCCGCTTCCAGGGCAACTTGTTCACGATTGAATGAAGCATTACCGGCGACCGCACCTGGATGCCACTTAGTAGTCCCTTTTCACCCTGTCCACTTCCCTCCCTCTTTCCCTCTTGCCATATTTCATTTTCGTTTTCCCTCTGCTTTTGCCATTTCCCTTAGATGCACCTGTAACCCACATGCAGCATTCTCAAAGGGTTTGCCCGGGGCTGAAAAACAGAACCAAGAGGGGAGGATTCAGTATTGAAGATTGGAATATCCGGTGCTGCCTACTTAACGATTGTAACTAGCTAAAATCGTAAAATCGTTAGATTTGCACAAAAAAAAAAAAAACTAAACCAATTTTGATAAATCTGCCTTTTAAAACCGTAATTTTTTAATGTATGTTGATAGTAATACTGGTTTATCTTTACAATATACAGTAAAACAAAAAATACAACTCAATGCAACTAAGTTCAGTGTACGAGCCACCTAAAAAAAGCCAAGTGCGCATCACTAGGCCTCATCCTCTGGCAATGCAGGACGTAATGGAATGGGAGTGGATATATGTGGGCATTCCTTTGGCTTTGGGCTTGCCAATTGCCAGTTGGATGCACTCATCGAGCCTTGGACCAAGCTTCAGTTTCACTTTCAGTTCCGTCCCTTCGGAAATATGTGTCAAAGGGAAACTGGACAGCAAATCTAAATTAGTTCGGGTCTGAGGGCGGCACCTGCATTGGCCATAAATATTTATCTATATTTGTATATGTATACCTATAGGCGACTATATATATATATATATATAGAGAGAGAGGACGGACTCCGACAACATATCCATATAGATGGATTGGCCCAAATGGGGGTTCATTTCGGGCTGTTGCTGCTCGGCCATAAATTTCATTTAGGAGACGTCGGCAGACAAACACAAATGCATCACTCTATCAGTCCACCTCCGCCCTTCTAACTCGACATATGGCATATATATATATATATATATAAGGATAAATAAAGGGGAAGAGGGAGGGGGCGTGGCCAGGCGGTGACAATAAATCTAGCGCATGGAACAAATGCGTTTCGAGTCGAAGACGGCGACTTTGATCCACAAATGGCGCTGGCTGAAAACAATTGAGAGCAAAAGTGACATATTGACACATTAACCGACGCACACAGCCGCACATCCACATCCAAATCCACACACACACACACCTACCCATACATATACATTCTCGCAGGCCACAGTTTTATGGCTTTGTGATAGTTCATCCTGCCAGCGACAAAAAAATAAAGGAAGGACCAACTGCAGTCAGTCAAAACATGGCATGAAAGACGGGCTGGAAAAGTAAGCAATGAAAAACAGGATCCAGGTGTCACAGATGGTGAAAAAACGTGGATGTTCCTCATAAAAAATGTAGCTTGTAAGTTATGCACTTTATAACATTTAAAGATTATAAACCGATATCAGTCCTCCAGTCGTATACGTGATTTTATTGTTTTAAATTTTCAAAATGTTTAATCTTTTTAGCCTATATAATTCTTAAAAAATCATCCCTCTCTATCAACGCACTCTGGCTTTTGATTTTAAAGACCATTGAATTATTTTTATTATTGACAGTAAATCATCACACAAATGAATAAACATATAGAACGGATTAAAATATTTTTGTTAGGCCACGAAATCGTGGAAAAACTGAATTTATTGCAATTTAAATTGTTGCGCTGGAAAAAGCAATCATTTATTCTTTTTTAAATCCCTAACATGGAATACACAAAGCCTTCACAATTTATACGATTGTAAACAATGAACTATAGACTATTGTAAGGTTTAAATGCTTTTGTTCAACCAACAATTAGAGAGAAAAACTAGATTCGTGTGGCATTAAATATTTATGCTAGCTCAATTGGAAATTCGGTATAGCAATGGTTGGGGAACAAATAATAAAACCCTTGACGTAAATGTGGATTATATAGACAATGGCCTACCTTTGGTGTTCCGCCTGCACGAATGTCGCTCACTTGACACAGCTCAATGACATCACCATCCTGCAGAGAAAATGAATGTCTTATCAGTCCTCACAATTTACCAAAAATAACCACTCAAATAGTTGTACTTTAAAGAATATTACTTGCAAATATCAGTAATGGAATCATATCGTGAGGATTTTGTAGCTTACCCGGCCTTCGCTCTTCCAGTACAAGAAGAATCCGTACTCGTCGACCTTAAAGAGGGCATCGCGCTCGAAGTCGTTCTCCTTGGTCTCCTTTTCGTTCTCAAACCAACGATCGAACACACAGCCCGTGGTCAGTTCCGCCGGCACCGGGATGATCCAATCGAATTCGTACTTCTTCGTCATTATTGCTCACTGGATGACGCCGCTAACCACTGGCCACTTTCGTTTCCGTTTCCGGTTCCGAGCTCTTCGCTGCTGTTTCCGGTTCCGTTACCGTTACCGTTTCCGCTGCCGCTGCCTTTCACATGCGATAAATGGCTAATCCAGATCTAGATCTGTCCCTCGGCGATTTCCCGCTACCGCTCTTAATTATTGGACATATTAATCGCTGGCATTATCAAGAACTCTCCCAACAGACGTGTGTTTGTATACAATTGCATTTATTGTAGATCACATGGTCCGTTTCCGTTTCCGTTTCCGGCTAAATTAACTTGGCTCGGCCGAAGTTGCAACCGATTTGCCAGGACTATATCCTATAACCAAAGCCGTTGGCTTAGCTGCAATCGAAAACAGAGATACAACCATTAGACATCCGAGTTCTGAGAGACCAGCTAGACTGTACTTTAAATTGAATTGATTTTCCAGACAACGATAATTAATATTTTGTAATTTTAAGTAAATTGTTTAAGCATTTTGCCTGCAAACTATGACTAGGTAAACCATTAAAATCGCAAACAAAATATGCATAAATATTACGAATCTATTGCATATCGGCGGCTGCCAATTTGCAAACCATTTTGCCATTTGAAGTTTAACGAGTTTTCCTATGAAAAAAAAAACTTGCAAATTGAATTAGCATTCAAATTGAACTAATTTCGCACACGCAAATCCGCTAGGCAATTTGCAATCAGCACACTTTATGAGCTTGACACAATTAAAAAACCACAAAAAAATAAAAAACAAAAACTTTGAAGTCGAGCCTTTGACATGGCAAAACTTTACCCCAGAGATGGAGATTTATGCAAATTATTGAACAGGAACTCGCAGGAACAGTCACAGGAGTTTCTTTCCTTTCCCTTTATATTTTTTTTTTAGAACAAGTCACAGACACGGATCCGGCTGATAGCTGACAGACAACTGAACTAACGACGAGTCGCTGCAGCCGGAAGCCAAGAAACATCTAAAACTAAGACTAATAGAATTAGTGGGTGACGGCATTGCCAGGGCCATGGCCACAGGTTCTTTCTCGCTTTGGATTCGATTTGGCAGCACTTTGGGGTCTTCCCCACCAACCACCCACCCACTAGGAACCACCCAAGGCAGACAGCACCACCATGGCCGTGGCCTCGTGCACCTGACTTTGATTCCGATTCGGGGACAAAACTCAAGTGACTGCCTCTCTCCCAGCTTGTTGCTGTTCCCACACTTCCTCAGTTTGTAGCTAAACGCGAAAAGCCACGTTCAGTTCTCTACTTGCACATAAAAACCGGATATAACCCTAACATTAAAGAGTGCTTTTAAAGTGCTCAAGATCACGTTCCATATGTCGACCACAAGTAAATAAATGTAGGAAAGCTTAGTAGTTAAGTAGGGAAAATAAGTCTCTAATTGCTGACCGATTATACAATTTTTCAGTATTGGCGCCCATATTATTTATTTAATTCCCTTTTTATTTACATAAAGTCACGGGTGTCAGAGCCCATTGTGTGGCACTTATTCATCCGTCTTTTCCATATATATATATATATATATATACATATAGCTGACTGATTACTCGGGGCACCGTGATTTCTTCCGCTTTCCTTTTTCGACGGCGCTGTCGCGTTACACATGACTTCAAATTCAATGAGCTGCGAAATTTCGCTCATTGTTAAACTTGGAGAGCTCGTTAGCCAGATACACAAACACAAACACCGACACACAAGCACACACAAACACACGCACACACACACACACAAAAAACCGCACAGCCAGGACTCTAAAACAGTGTAAAGAAAAAAAATACTTTCACGCCCGCTCCACGAATGTTTAATGAATTTACGCTCTGTGCGCTTTTGAACTTTCGGGTGGACGAATTAGCGAACAAAAGAAGCACTAAGGACCAAGGACCAAGGAGCAAATGGGGCAAGGTGCTCGAGGACAAACGAGGATACGAACGTCAATGCACTCCACTTAAAAAATGATGCTACTCATGAAATAAATATATGGCAGTCCCCTCACAACCTTCACTATTGTTGGTAAATCACTTCGGAAATGGAAGAATATTTAAATACAAAGCAGATTGTTGAATATGAACTACGAAGGTGAAAAGTATATCTTTTCATTTCATACCTTAGTTGGCAGTTGAAAGTGACCTATTTAAAATATTCAATCTACTTGATTCTCGGATTCTATTTTCAATAAAACGCCTCCAATAAATCACAAAATTAAATCGAACTCATTAAAGCGCCGGTGGTGTCGGGTTAAAAAAAAAATCTATAATACAATTGCTCCTCCACTTCCTCGAACCACTTCAACACAACGATTTTCGCGAAATCAAAGCACTTGAATTCATCTTTCACTGGCGCCCATTAAATGCAGATATGCCGGGGAAAAACTTGAGCTCGGAAGGAAAGCGAGGGGAAAACGAAAGAGCAACGCGAAGGGAAATCGAATCGTCCTTCTATATAGAGACCCCCGTCTAGTTTGCCACCTAAAGTTGTGCAGAAGTGTATGACAACGGTTCTTCTGCTTTTTTATTTTCCTGCTCTATGGGCCAAGTGTCACGCCTCAACACCTGCGCCCCGAATCGAGCGGAAATTTGGTCCGTTCGAAAGGCTCTTGGACGAAAGAGAGTCGGTTCCCGACTTTCCCGGTTACGGAGTAAAAATAACTTACATAAACTTTTCCTCAAAGGACACACACGTACGCCGAGAAGTGTGCTACAAATATGCTCATTACGTGCGCGCCAAGTGGCAGCCTCAACCCCAAAGGGCCAAGCCGTCCCGCCCACTCGCCAACCGCCCACTCGCCAACCGCCTCCGCTTTTCCTCGCCTCCTTGCTTTTCCAGCGACAATTGCTCAATTTATTATTGCATACTTTGCGGCCATAAAACTTGGCAGGCATCCCGGCCATCCTTTCGCGGCTTCTGCTGCATGGACTTATAGATATCGCCGGGGAATATATATGTAGATTCGCATTATGTGTACATACAGTGCAGGGCTACAGGTACATACTATAACTAAATTCAATTTAAATTCATTTCTGAATCGTTTCTGTTCATTAAAGGCAAAAAGAGCTTAAAGACTCAAATTGTTTACTTTCCAGATTAAACGATGTACTGGTTTTACAGAATATAATTAAGTAAAAATTGCTAAAATATACTTAAATTTTTTTATATGTTTTCTTTATATTTTTTAATATCTGTAACGATTGAAATAGTTTGTGTTGAACGCAACAGTTGATGTTGTTTTAATGAATGTATGGCTTTTTTATGCCTTCAATGCTTGTTTTTCTTGAATTGAAGTTTGCTAGTCGTTGGCATTGCTATTGTTGCTCTTATTATTATGGATGTAACAATTGTTTACACAGCTTTTATTGCTGTGTGCCATTTTTTCTTTACTGCAGTGTATCTGTAAACAATGTTGGAATTGCAGTTATTAAAATTGTTCTGTCGACGGCAAGGTTGCTGAAACTCAGAAAGGTAGGTTATTATGCCATTTTATTCGAGAGTGTTTGATGCTGCTGCTTTAGTTCTGATTGGAGCAGTAAATATGACAAGCTATTCACTCAGTATTCACTTAAATGCTATTTCACTTCCTATTTAATTTTTTTACAAGTACATGTTGCACTTAATATTAACTCAAGATTTTGGTGATGGTTGTCTTGTTTTTACCATTGTTCCTGCTATTGGCCATTACACTTACGAAATTGAATTTGCTGGCCATACAATATTTGTGAAATTGGCATTTAAATATTTGATGAGACAAGCAAAGGGAAATGCGCAGCGAATCGCAGGTAGTAAAATATTTGAGTGTCTGCTTTTTTGGGTGCTAGCCAAAAGGGAGAAGTAAGGCAACCGATTCGAACAGTGAACACTGATTGCACAAATGAAGATTGAGGGATGTGGAAGTAGGTTGGGGGTTGGGGGTTTAAGGGTTGGGGGTTACGGGTCACACAACTTGACCTTGCTGGCGCCGGGCATCCATCAAAATTGATGGCACTGCACGATTGCCTCATGCAGTCAGTCAGTTGGTCAATCAATCAAGAGCCCCGCTCAATTACATCAATCAACCAAGAAAGGTAATCCAAAACCGAAAACCAAATGGGTTTTTCTCTTGACTTTGAGAGCCAAAAGTAATTACGTCTGATAAACAAGTCCTCTATTATTGTATGCAGAAATTAAAATGGCATGTGTGACGTGCGAAAGAGATGGCCATACTAACAGTGAGAAAGAGAGCGGTAGATCTGCTAAAAACCCATTTGGAAAAGGGGAAACAAAACGACAGGAAATATGGCAAATAACTAAACAAATTGCCAGATGCAAGTTTTGTATATGAGCGTGAGTTCCTTTTCCCTCTTTCACACTCTTTGGGGAAAATTGCAAACATTTGCATACTTCCATGTTGCCAGATGAAGGTTGAGGCAATAAAAACCCATGTACATATCTTGGGTTTAGTTATGTTTCCTGTGTCTTTCGTTATGAAATTGTTGCAACTTAGTTTGACATCCGTTCGCTTTAAACTCTCCTGAATCCGCTTAAAACACAGAATTGTACTTCCATACTGATATAAGTTAGTGTTAAAACGCAATGAAAATAAAGAACTTTAACGCCCTACAGAGCTGTTTAAAAATATGCTCTTAATTGATGCTAACCAAATGAATGTTACCATTGACACTAAGCCACTTGTCTGCCTCGAATACCATTCTCCCAATGCCTAACGCACACACTCACTCCTTAACACACACACACACACATAATATATACACCCAGGTGACCCTGGCGGATACGTGATGTGTGGGAATATGCTAAGTATTGGGACAAGAAACTCGCTTAGGCACGCACCATCCGTCAAAAAAAGAGGAAAAAGGCCCAAAGATTCCAAAGGCGGAAGGCGTCAATGGAGGCGTGGCACTGCCGAGGAAGAGTGGGGGGGGTGGGGAGCAAAGGGCGAGGGGCCGCCGACAGTGGGCGTGGCACAGGCAAATCAAAACCGAATGATGGGCGGAGCGACATCACGGGCATCCTTCAAACAAACTGTCAGCAACTGTCAGAAGAAGTTAAACGAAACCAAAGAAGAAACGAAATAAAACAAAGAAAAGTGGGTGGTCCGCCAGGAAAATATGGAAGAAAAAAAACAACAACATTGACAGCAGATCGGGTCAAAACCTTTCCGAAACCGACGAAAAAAAAAAAAGGAAAGGGAGGAGACAGAAGGGAAAATGGAGGCTTTGTCATATGGCTTACAGCTGTTGGCGGACTTTTGCGGCACGTAGCTCTTCTGGCGGTGTTTTTATTTTAAGCCCCACAGGCCGTGAAAAACTTCGAATTCCCAGAATCAAAACAATACATCATCA